CGCCCGGCCTCGATCTCTGTTTTTAAAAGAAACTTTAAGTGAAAGAATAACCTACCTTGTGTCTTTCCCTTGTCTTGCTCTTGTTTTATGTGGTAGATCCCAAAAAAGCACGAGGACCAGAATTTAAAAGCACCCCTCACGCCCGCGAGGCTCCAGCCCTTCTTGGCTCAGTAGCTCAGGTGCTTCCCATGGCGCCGCGTTGACTGTCCCTCTCTTCTCTGCCCTAGCGTTCCACGCCTACGGGAAGGCAGGCAAGATGCTGGTGGAGACCAGGTAGGTGCCGCTGTGCGCCCCGCGCTACTCGAGGGGACCTGGAGAGAGCCGTCCCAGGGTGGACAGCCGAACGCAGGGTTGCTTTACAACTTGCGATGTGCTTCTGAAGAGTCACACACTAAACAGCCAAAAGTCCGAATTATTCTGCCCTTAAAATGATTATGACAAGGTTGAAAGCCTTAAGTCTTGCCGTGGAAAGTTGAAAATAGCTCCTCAGTTGTAGTTAATCTCAGTACCGTTCCTCAGACTGTGCACCACCCCCCAATACTGCTGCATACAGGTGGCATTAAATCGAAAATGTCACATTTTTCTTCCTTTGGAGTAAAATTTTATGACATGAACAAATTGCTGGGAAATTGCACTTTTAAGCTTCCAAATTAGGGAATTGTAAACTCAAAAGAACAACGTTTTTTGAAAGCAGTTGATTGTTCTTTTAACTTGTCTAACATCACAGTGTGTTTTTGTAGTACCTGAAAGAACTTTTAGAGCTCCTGTGGAGAGAAAATGCAATACCACGTAAAGAAAAGTTCAGTGTTATTCAATATTCATTTCAAGTAAAATATCGAACTCCACAAAATCTACCCGCGCCCTGTAAACTGCTGAACGTTTGAAATGCATCCACTTGGCCCAGCCTTGGGGGCGGTCACGTGCCGGCAGCCACACGCGGGTGTGGGGCTATGATCGTGACAGGACGGTGGACTCCCTGGACGCACCGTCTCACACCTGTGACTTCCTGCTCTGTAGCATGATCGGGCTGATGCTGGGAACCTGCATTGCCTTCTACGTCGTCATTGGCGACTTGGGGTCCAACTTCTTTGCTCGGCTGTTTGGGTTTCAGGTAAGAACATTTTCAGGTGTTGTGGTTTATTCAGATGCTCATGGCTGCTTCTGTGGCAGCTCAGCGTGACACCCCCGTGAGCCCCAGCCGAGACCAGCACAGTTTGGTCAGCAGATACATCGTCGTGCCTGGCCATCAGCTCGGGTCCTGCGGGCCGGGGTGCAGGGATTTGCTGGGCAAGCACCTGGAAAGGTGCTGGGAGAGGAAGTGGGAGCATGCGGAGGCTCCAGGCCGCGGGGAACCAGCCTCAGATGGTAGGGGGCCAGCCACGTCTCGGCCAGCCGGGGCTGCCTGCCGGGGGCAGGATTGGCCAGGCCCTTGTGCATCCGCCACACTCAGCTGCCGGCCAGAGCTGCCCGGGGAGCTCGGCCTTCGCCCTGCTGGGGGGCTCTGCAGGCCCAGCCCTCGGGGCCACTGGGCTCAGTGCTCCTCGCAGCCCGCAGGGACGTGTGCGCGCATTCTCCACGCTTGCTGCCCCTAAGGGGGCTGACCTGTGACCTGGGCCCGGCACACCTTTCCTCCCCTGCCAGGAGCAGAGTGCCGCGCTGAGCGGGGCGGGAAGGGCTGGCTGAGGGGTGCACACCATGGCTCCGGGGGGTCTCTGTGGAGGGGTCCCCCAGTGTTTGGATACTAATGGTGTGGAAAAGGCTTTCAATTGTAAAAGTCTAGCTGAGGAGGAGCAGGGGTGGTTCTCTTCGTGAGTAGAATGTGCTGGATTTGCAGGCTGTCGGAGTGTCCTGTGAGTGTGGCCCTGGTCTGTGTTTGCAGTGTCTTCCCATTTGACTCTGCGTTGTCCCACGTGTCACTGTGAACTTTGTAGGGCTTTGGGTCCGTCCTGCCCGTGGGACATGCCTTTCCTGCACCCACTGGCCTGTGCCCCTGTCTAGACGTCTCCGCTTTGGGTTCGGAGGGGACTGGGGCAGAGCTAGTGCTGGCGGCCACTGCCTGGCGTGGGTTCCCTCGTGTCCTCCCTGTGGAGAACAGCCTCTCAGGCCCCGGCAGGTCCGCCACCTGTGTGCCCGTCCGCCCTCAAGGCCCACTGGGCTGGCACGCAATTCCCACGTGACGCTGCCATGCCAAGACGTGTGGAATCGCGAGAAACATGTAGGTGCTGGGGAGAGGGCGCTGGGGGCCGTTTTGCCTTTAGCCTAGTGCCAGAGGCTCCGAGTGAGGAACCGGACAGCCGGGTGTGCCGCGGCAGCGGCCTGGCAGGTATTTTCAGACCTTTGCATGTTCTGCTGTAATAAGCACCAGCGTGGAGTTTTTTGATTAATTTTTTGGACCACAGTTTCGAACCTCCCATCCTTCTTGAAGCGAGGTCGGCTCTGAGTTTACACTGGACAGAGCAGCACTCTGCAGTGGGCCCACTTGGGTTCCCGCCGCCCCCCGTCAGCGCCGGGCTGGGCTTGTGGCGGCAGCGCCGCTAATTGCCCAGAGCAGCGCGGGCTCCCACCCACTCCCACCGCGTCCCTTCCTGTGTTAAGGGGGACAGCTGTCCCTTTCCTCCAGCTGGTCTTGCCCTGGGGCTGGGCTAGACCCTGTGGGGACCAAGAGCAGCTGGTGCACCAAGAAGCCGCACGGCACAGTGGCCGCGAGGGCGGCTTCTAGAGCCGGCATGCCTGGTCTGGGCCTCACCGGCTCCGTGCTCTTGGGTGCTGTGGGCTCTCTGGGCCTCAGGGTGCAGCCCGTCCCCCGGCAGTGAGGACGAGGCCTGCTGGGAATGGAGCCAGTGCTGCAGCCCATGGAACCCTGCGGCTTTCTTGCAGGTAACCGGCACCTTCCGTGTGTTCCTGCTCTTCTCTGTGTCGCTGTGTGTCGTGCTGCCCCTCAGCCTGCAGAGGAACATGATGGCCTCCATCCAGTCCTTCAGCGCCATGGCTCTCCTCTTCTACACCGTGTTCATGTTCGTGGTGAGTCTGGCGCCTGCGGCGTTGGGCACTGTGTGCCGGGGCTGGTCCTCCGGGTCCGTGTAGCCATCCCGGGCATGACGGGAAAGTGGCCCACAGCGTGGGGACTTGCTGGGATGATGGGAGTGTGCTGGGAAGCGCCACTCGGCTCCCGGGCCTGGGTGCTGTTGGACGGCAGGAGAGGCTGGGGGTGCAGGGGGAGGTGGTTCTGGGAGATAGCAGCGTGGAGTGTCCCTGTTTTACACAGAGACATACTGCGTGGGATTGTGACCGAGAGCCATCATGCCAGTGTCTGTCACACGGTGGCAAGCTGTTGTTTTTCCAAATGAGCGCTTATAGGAGGATAGACTGGGGGTGACATGTGGCATTGACACTTGGGACTTGGCGGCCTCCCGGAGTGAGCTCCGGGGCTGTCTACCGTGGAAGCGCTCTGGGACCTCAGCCCCAGGACCTGTCCATTCCCTGGTGGCGTCAGAAGCGACCTTCCCGAGGGAGCGGAACCTGAGCGTGGAGCAGGCGCTCCTTAGCTCTCGGCGAGGACCAGTCCAGTGCCAGTTACCTCCTTACTGTCCAGACAGCTGAGTCCTCAGTGGGTCGGTCATTTTCTTTTGAGTTGGGGGGGTCTCACTCTGCCACCCAGGCTGCAGTGGCACCATCACAGCTCACTGCAGCCTCAAATTCTGGACTCAGGAGAGCCTCCTGCCTCAGCCTCCCAAAATGCTGGGATTACAGGCATGAGCCACTGTGCCCAGCCTGGTTGGTCTTTTGAACCATGTCCATGTCTGGCACAGTATAGGATGGCAGAGGGACCTGCCTGTATTGGGGAACTGTCCTCTGTAACTTGATGGAAAGCGGGCCAGGCGCAGTGCTCTGGTCTCGCTTATGTCTGTGCCGAGCAGTCCCTGCGTGGGTCGCTGCTCTGATGTGCACAGGAAGTCCTCTGCAGCCAGGTGCCCCTCCAGCTGCACCGACCAGCCCAGGCAGGAACCAGGGGGCTTCGAGGCAGGTGGCAGGGAACCGGGAAGGTGCGGGGTCCCCAGTCCCTGCAGCCGGTGGCACCAGGCTGCCCTCATGGGTGAACAGGGCAGCGGTGTGGGGTAGGAGGAGCCGCGCCCCTCCTTGCACCCCCTCCCGTGGCTGTGTCCTGCCTGCGTGACCTGCGCGCTCTTCTCTCCCCACCGCAGATCCTGCTGTCTTCTCTCAAGCACGGCCTCTTCGGCGGGCAGTGGCTGCAGCGCGTCAGCTATGTGCGCTGGGAGGGCGTCTTCCGCTGCATCCCCATCTTTGGCATGTCCTTCGCCTGCCAGTCGTAAGTGCTCTAGCCGCAGCCCGTGAGGGTGTGGGGAGTGGTGGGGGCGGGTCCCCCCGTGTCTCTGGTTTCTCCAGTGCCTGTTCCTGGGTGCTGAAGAATGATGTCTTGTCCAACTGTGACCTTTCCCTCCACGCTGAGAGAGAGATGATTGCTTTTTAATCGGGAGATAAACTGACATCATTCCTGAGATGTGTCGCTGGGACTAGCTGGTGCGAGTCCCTGGTTTGCCAAATTCCCGTGAGCAGAGCGTTGGCTGTGGGGGTGCAGCAACAGCCCGGGCCATCTGATTGCACAGAGTCCCGAGCGTGTTGCCAGAATTTAGCTGCTCTTCTGAGAACATTTCAGAGGAAATTGCACAAACGTTGACTTCGGGCTGCTGCTGGGATGCGTTGGGAGGCCTGTGCGCGTGCACGAGCGAGCCGCCTTCTCTCTGGCGTGGGGAGCCTGCGAATGCAGATCAGGCTGTGCCGCGGTTCCAGCAGCGTCACTTCCCCACCAAAATGACAAAAGCCAGTGATTCACGCCCGGTCGGAAAACGGTAACCGGCTGAAAAGAGAGGCGTAAATCCGGCGTGGACGGGGAAAGACCATCGCGTGCGGGGGGCTGGCAGAGCGGCCTCCCCGCGGTGTCAGTGGGCACGCACCGAGCCAATCGCAAGCTAATGTGACAGATAAAATTTGTTCCCACTGCTGTGTTTACTCCCACATGCGAGATCCAACCGCCGTTTCCCACTTGGCGTCTCTCTTGGCAGCTCGGTTCCTGCAGAACTGCTCCAGGCTTGCTGGTTAATGTCCCTGTTATAATCGGTGACAAGTGACATTCTTTCACTGCGCACCTAGTTACCAACTGTCCTTTTTGTCTCCGTGTTTGGTTTCTCAAAATATAAATCCACAGTTGTGCTCTCGTGGTGGCCACGTAGCAGCTGGGCACATCTGTCGGTTTGGTTCTTAGGTCAGATCGTAGGTTCTGAGAGGTGGGAGCGCACGGCCGCTGAGTCGGGCCTCGTCCTGCCTCTCCCGAGGTGTCCGCGCTCCCCTTCCTGGCCGGCGTGCCCGTGAGCGTCTGCCGAACGCAGAGACAGCTCCTCCCTCTTCCCTCCCACAATGTCACTGTGCCAGAGCACCTGCCCTTGCCGGGTGACCCACCAGGCCCCCAGCCCCGTGAGATGGGTCTATTGCTGTGGGCATGGGCCAAGCCTCCCCGTGCCTTCGCTGTCCGGCTTTCTGGTCCGACCTACGGTAAATGGATGCCGGGTTACACGGAGCTGGCGTCCTGGCCTGGAGGAGCGGCCCTGGTGGTGCTGAGCTCAGGAGGTGCGGGAGGGGCGGGTCACCTGGAGACGCGCCGCAGTCTGCGTGGGGGGCACGGAATCCCGCAGCTGCATGTGGAAAGCGCCATCAGACCCCAGTAGACCCCGAGTCGTGGCGGCTGCCTTGCGAGGTGGGCTCTGGGAACACCCTGTGGGTGCTGAGGGCTCTGGTAGCACAAGGAGCTCCTGTGTGGGGGCCGTGGGGGCATGTGACTCCCACCTTGCTTCTCTCCAGGGGTCACGCAGGGGTCCCTGGTGCTGGAGGGGAGGCCTGGGGAGGAGCCTGTGGCCTGGCCTTCGCACCCTGGTCCACCCCACACGCCGGGACCAGCCCCGCCCACGGCGACACAGCTTCCTTGGCAGCGCCCCTCACGGTGTGTGTTGGGGGTGGGGGGAGGTCAGCCGTGTCTTGGACTCCCGGGTGTGGACTTGGATCCAGACAGAGGCCTGATCAGCACCGAGAAGTTCATGCGACAGGTCCTTCTCCCAGAGCGATAGGCCGGAGGCACACGGAGACGTCCTAGGGTGTCACCTCCTGGCTCTCTGCTGGCTCCCTGGGGGCCGTTCCCACCAGCTGAGAGGAGGGTACCTGTCCAGCAGGGTCCCCGACCCCTGCTGGTGGCCCCCGTGCTGAGGGTGTCCTGCTGGGCAGTGTGCCGTGAACTCAAGGAAAACAGGGACACCGGTGCCCGCTGGCCAGGTCTTCCCGCCTGCCCTTGTCTGTTTGCCTTTTAATATGGTTGCGGCATCTTGCGTTTCTTTCACATCTTTAAAAGCAGTTCTGGGATTTGGCTGCACTGATTTCACGTACCCCAATGCCCCTACCCCCACCAGCCCAGCTCCCTTTGTGCCTTTGAGGCGTGCCTGGAACGGCCACAGCTGCCCGGGACATACCAGGGCTGGTCCTCGTCCAGCTCGGGGCAGGGGACGTTCACCCTGTCCTGGCTCAAACTGCCCAGCTCCCTCCTCCTGGCTGCACACACCGTCCTCTCATGGCCCCCACGCCCTCTCCCGCCTGGCCTGGCCAACCCGTCCCCCAGGTGCCCAGGCCCCTGCCTGCCACCCTGTGCCCTCTGGAAAGCCTGTGTGGGGCTGTCACACCCCTGCCTGGCCAGTGACTCCGGTCCCTCCCACCCCCAGCAGCACCACACTCCTGGCACCGGGCCGTGGGACAGACGCCAGCTCTCTCATCCCGAGAGCGAGAGGCCGTGCGTTGGGAAGCGTGCCCTGGGCTTCTCCTTGTCTGTGCCCTGCGCCGATCGCGCCTGTGCCGAGGCGCTGAGATGGGCCGGCCGGCCGCCCTGCCAGGGTGTGTTTGTTTAACTTTCCCGTCTTTTGACATCAGTGTTCTGAACGGCTTCCTGCTTCCCCTGTAAACACGGCTGCTTTAATTCTCAGCGCTGCGCTCCAGCGTGCAGGCTCCTGCTTCCACAGGGCAGATGGCCTCGCGCCCTGCAGCCTCGTGCGACGTTTGCGTGGAGCGTGTCCTGGGGATGTTCTGAGTGGGAACTGCCGCAGTGCTGCCGTCCCTAGTTTCACCAGACCCTGGCCTCATGCCGTGACTCACAGCGCGTGGGGGACGTTGCGTGAAGGAAAGTGCCGAGACTGCTCGGCTGGGCTGCAGAAGAGGCGGGGGAGCTAGCATGGCCGGGGGCAGTCATGCCTGCCTGGAATCTGCTTCGTGACATTGCTTGTTTTTTGTGCGTGTGTCTTGTATTTGTGTTGTTTTAGAGACAGGGTCTCGCTCTCACCCAGGCTGGAGCGCAGTGGCGTCATCGTAGCTCACTGCAGCCTCCAACTCCTGGGCTCAAGCGATCCTCCTGCCTCAGCCTCCCGAGTAGCTGGGACTACAGGCATGAGCCACCACACCCTGCTAATTTTTCTTAGTTTTGTACAGTCAGAGTCTTGCTACGTTGCCTAGGCCGGTCTCGGACACTTGGGCTTAAGCGACGCTCCTGGCTCAGCCTCGGTGAAGTTGCTTGTTTTCATACAGCCAGGTCCTGCCTACCTACGACAGCCTGGATGAGCCGTCGGTGAAAACCATGAGCTCCATATTTGCCTCCTCCCTCAACGTGGTCACCACCTTCTACGTCATGGTAGGAGCCCTTCACACCCGAGCTCGAGGTGCTGGGATGCCTCCTCCCTCCAGCTTCCTACAGCCCCAGGAATGGCTGGTGCTCACGACCTGCCAGCTGTGGGTGTCAAGTCGCGGGCGTGCCCTTCGCGATCCGCCATCCGTGCCTGTCGATCCATCTCTTGTTTCCCATTGTGGTGTCGGAGGCGCACGGCACAGTTACCTGGGCAGCCGTGCTCCTCAGCTCCGGTTGTCCCCAGCTCCTGCCCATGAGCACACTGCCCCTGCTGTGTGGCATCTCCAGGGCCGGGGGGCCCAGGCCCCTCAGGGCAGGGCCGCGCCCAGCTTGCTTTAATTGCACGACCCTCGGGGCCACCTCTCTGAGACTGTTGTTAATTCTGCAAATGTGGGCATGTTGGTTCGAGAGACACGGAGAAGTGCAATGGTGGAGGGAGAGAGAACCTCCAATTCTGACCCACAGACGCAGTCACCGTCAGCGCTTTGGAAGATATTCTCCCTGTCTTCTTGATGTTCCTGTTTGTGGCCCTTGAATGAAATTTTTAATCTAAATGTACTAAGATCGTGGCCTGTCCCACGGTGGTCCCTGGAGATCACCGACACCTGTGTCTTATTCCGCAGAGGACACCATAGTCCACCTCTGGTACCCGGTTGGTTGTTTTTTTTTCCTTTTTTTTGAGATAGGGTCTCACTCTGTCGCCCCAGCTGGAGTGCAGTGGCATCATCACAGCTCACTGCAGTGTCCAAGTCCTGGGCTCAAGTGATCCTCCTGCCTCTGCCTCCCAAATAGCTGGCACCATAGGCGCGTACCACCACGCCCGGCTGATTTTTTAAAAATTTTTTTGTAGAGGCAGGCTCTTGCTTAGGCTGATCTCAGTCTCTTGACTTCAAGCCATCCTCCCGTCTCGGCCTCCCAGAGCACTGGGATTATAGGCCCACGCCACCTTGCCCGGTCCCCAGTTGGGTTTTGAAATTGGAGGGGCTGGTGGGACGTTCTGGTGCCCTCCCTTCCACGCGGCAACTCTGCTGTCCTTACGTGAGACCACTCGTCTCTCATCGAGCTCTCTGGTCACCAGAGTCTCTGGCCTGTGGAGGCTGTCTCTGGCAGAGGCTTCCTTGTGAAGTGGCTCGAAGGCCATTCTGGGGGAGTGAGGGGTGTGGCTGCCCTGCCCTGTCTGCTGTGACCAGTGCCACTTAGATCAGAACCTCTGCTTGCCACGCTGCCATCTCTGATCCTCCCACAGGTGGGGTTTTTTGGTTACGTCAGCTTCACCGATGCCACCGCGGGAAACGTGCTGATGCACTTCCCCTCCAACCTGGTGACGGAGATGATCCGCGTGGGCTTTACGATGTCGGTGGCCGTGGGCTTCCCCATGATGATCCTGCCCTGCAGACAGGCCCTGAACACACTGCTTTTCGAGCAGCAGGTAAGATGCTCTCGGCCGTTTCCTGCTATTAATAGAATTATCTCCTATTGGCTTTTGTTCTGCATTTTCCTGGGCAGCGGTAGGTGGAGCTTTTCCTAGTTCAAAGTGAAAAAAGCTTCAATTAAAATGAAATCTTAACAGGGAGTTTTATAACCAACTTTGGAAAAAGCACCGGAGCACACGGGGCACACGGGCCACTCTGTTCCAGGCCCGTCGTCCACGCGGGCCATGCTGGTCTCCTGGGCCTTCCCAGCTGCGGTGCGGCCCTCCCGCCCCAGAGAGACCGCAGGAGATTGGGGGTCTGCCCTGAGTGGTCCTGGGGAGGGCAGATGAATGCGGACGCGGAGCAGCCACAGTGACGGTTGGAGGAGAGGCGCGTGGGGCGCGCTGTGTGTCACTGAAGATTTTAACAATATAACAGAAGGTTTTCAGCATAGAGCAGCTGCGTTACACCAGGCATGGTGGTGCGTGCCTGTAGTCCCATCTGCCTGATCCCTTGAGCCCAGAGTTCGAGGCCAGCCTGGGCAACATAGTGAGATCCCCATCTTAAAAATAATAAAAATAAAAAGAGGCTGGGTTTTATTCATTGCAATGTATGTAGGCAAGGCAGCTGCTTAGTCCTTTATAAAATTTTTCAAATGCAGGGGTTGAAACCAAAAGGCCCTCCTGGTTCTCTCCCCGTTGCTAAGTTGACAACCAAAGGTGCTCCGTCCTGTGCGCAGAGCAGACAAAGGGGCTGGAGTGTTGGGGGCTCTGCCCAGTCTAGGCTTCCCCTTGCCTGTTCAGGAGGTACCTTCACTCCCCTTGGGAGCCTCGAAAGGTGGCCGTCTCCCATCCCACAGCCTGAGAACTGCGAGCCTGGCGGCCAGGAACACGAGTTCCGCTGGAGCTGCTTAGGCCAAGGGGGTTTAGTGGTCGCAGAGTCCGGAGAGAATCAGCAGCTGGAGTGGAGAGGGTGGGCCGCCCTGGGCCTTGAGAGCAGCTGGCCCCGAGTTCACTGCCCCACGTGTCTCCACACCACGGCAGCTTGCGTCTGCCCCTGCGGACTTCCCTGGCCTGGCGCCTTCGGCTTTGCGGCAGCGGCCAAGCACGAGGCCTGGGTGCCTTCTCTCCTGCGCCGCTGCTCGGGTGCCCCCATAGCGTTCAGACACCTGGGTGTTGAGCGAGGCAGGATTTAGGCCTTTGTTCCTGGGGCTAAGCCGTGGGGTCCTCCCGCGGCTCCCCTGGCCCAGCCTCTGCCCCGGGGGTTGCGGGGTCCCCTGCTCACTGTGTAAGGCAAACACATGCTTCATATCCGAACAGCGTTTGTGTTTCTGCACATAACACATTTTGTCTTTTTTTAAAATGAAAAAATCAGTAGTGGTATGGAAGGAAATGTTAAATCAAGCGAGAGCCCATCCCTTCGTCCTGACGCAGGCGGCTGTTGTTTTCCTCCCTCTGCGCTCGCTCCTGCTTTACCAGGCGCAGCCGGGCGCGTTTTGCTCCGTTCCTCCTGCTTCCATTGGTGCACATGCATTTCTCTACGGCCTTGCGGAAAGCCACGGCCCCCCTCCCACTCCCGTGCCCTTGCCCCGTCCCCACCCACCGTCGGGGTCCGGCTGTTTCTGGTCCTTCACCCTTGACCTCTCGGGCTTGATGCTCTCGTGACTGTCTGGATGCGTAACGTCCCCTTCCTCCTCTCAGGCGTGTTTCTTAGGCAGACTTCCGCGGGGACTCACGGGTTTAGACCGGACGCCGTCCGCACTGGCGCGTTTCCGGGTTATCATCCCCAGCTTCTGTGTGAAAGTCTATTTTGAACACTGGATACTCTGAGACTCTAGTTCTGGAAGGTTCTGCTGTTGTTTTCTTAGCTCAGGGATAACATCACAGTCAGTCCTTCCTGTGCATTAACTCACTTGGTCCTCACCACGGCTTCAGGAGGAGGTGCTTCTGTCCACAGGGGAGGAAACAGGCGCACGGGCTCAGCGACCTGCGCAGGATGCGGCTGGGCCTGCGGTGGCAGGGCGGGGGTGAGCTGGGCAGTCTGGCTGCAGTGCTGGTGTGCTGGGCCACGCCAGGGCCCTGGCACTTGCTGGTTTGGGTGGCAGGTTCCTGTTAAAGTTGCCTGGGCAGATCTGATTGTGCCGATGAGCTCACCTGGCAGGTGAGCCCATCCCAGCCGCTCACGGAGACTCAGCTGGTGTGCCTGGCAGAGCCCTGTAAGGTGTTGCTTTGCAAGAGAGTGGTAGAGGAAGCCAGTCATTTCAAAACTGTTTTGTTTTTATTTTCTTTTATGTAGCAAAAAGATGGTACCTTTGCGGCCGGAGGCTACATGCCCCCTCTGCGGTTCAAAGCGCTCACCCTCGCGGTCGTGTTTGGAACCATGGTCGGCGGCATCCTGATCCCCAATGGTAAGGCAGGAGGGCTGCTCCCCCGCTGGTCCCTGCCGCGCTTTCCTCTCTCCTTTTGCTTCTGTTCTTGCTGCCACTCGGGTCGGCGGGTGTCAGCATCAAGACACCTGGAGTCGTCGGCCATCCCCTCTGGCCTCCTAAAAAAGTCTAAAGACTCCCGGGTCATTTTTTCTTTGGACCGAAGAGAAAGGCAGGGGATAAATTTGGCAGCCTGACGGAACAGCAGACACGTGCCGACACCTGGGAGGAGGGAAACTGCAGCTCGGGACACAGGCCAGATTAGCGAAGCGAGTGATGGGCCTCACTGTTGACTGTCAGCTTCCGACTTCGTTGCCATGTTACCAAGGGAAAGGTGGAGGGCTCTGAGCAAGGCTTAAGTTGCCCAAACACACCCACTCCCTCGCAGACGAGACAGGCGTACTGTCATCAGACAGGGAACTGCATGCCCCTCCCCAGGTGACATCCCCCGCGGCCACCTGTCCAGGCTCCTGGCAACAGGCTGCTCTGCCAGCACGCCCGGCCCTAGCTTTCACACGTGTCCTGGAATGGCCCTGCCAGGTCACTCACCAGCCCACAGGTAGGAGAGGCAGCGTGTGAGCCCGCGGTGCGGATTTAGGAAGGAGATCCCGTCATGCGGCTCTTCGAAGGTGAACAACCGGAGAAGCCCCCACTGGCTGCCCCGTCCACTGTGCGAGGAATCAGCTTGGCCGCTGCAGCCCCTGCTCTGAGCCTGTGGTGTCGTGGCCTGTGCTGCCCCTCCCCTACGTCCCACGCCTGGCCGGAGCCCTTCCTGCTCACCCTTCCCGTCCCTCCTTCTAGTGGAGACCATCCTGGGCCTCACGGGTGCAACGATGGGAAGCCTCATCTGCTTCGTCTGCCCGGCCCTGATCTACAAGAAGACCCACAAGAGCGCCCTCTCCCCGCAGGTGCGTGCTGCTGCGGCGGGCGGGGCTGGCCAGCGTGTGGCACGCAGAGCGGAGGCCCCGTTCAGTGTGTTCAGACGGGTTCTGCCAACTGGGTTTCAGTTCTGTCAACTTGAAGCCCACAAAGCGTCCTTGGTCGGGCAGGTCTGGGAAACCCTGGGCTAGACCAGGCCGCGCAGGCTCTGCCCGTCACGCACGTCGGGATTTCCCAGAGCCGACTTCCCAAGCTCCATGCGGCGCTTCTGTGCTGTGACGAGGTTGTCTGTGTCCCTGCCCCGGTCCCCCCATCACCCCCCATTTCGTTCCCGGAGAGGAGGCTGCATGTGCACACGCATGTTTTCTCCTTTAATGGCAACACAGCGTCCTGCTGCTTTCACTTAAAATCCCTTGCAGGTCGCTCCTCAGCCGTCTGTACGGAGCCGCCTGGTTACTTTTAGCTGCTTCGTAGCGTTTCATCGTAGGAAAATTCCGTAATCCCATCTCCGACGGAGTCCTGTCTCCAGTCCTTTGCTGTTCCAGACAGCACCACGATGGTTTCCGCGTGCGTGAGCGCCGCGATCTGCCTTCTAGCTGTGGAGTGCCCAGGAGTGTGAGCGCTTGTAACATGTGGCTTCTGCCCAGGTGCCTTGGGGTGTCACATCGCGGCTCCAGGGGCCTCCGTCCCCACGCCTGGGACCTTCCAGTCTTCCTCGTTCTCGGCTTCCTTCAAGTGAACGGGGATGCCTTTTCATGAGTTCAGAAATCACTTGTGTTTCTTCTTCTGTGAATTGCCTGTGTTTTTTGCTCGCTTTTATGACATTGTTTAGCTTTTTCTTATTGAAGTGTTCTGGTAAATTTTTAAAGGTGTGTTACACATACGAGTACAGCGTAGCATGTGGTTTTTGCGCACAGCTTGATAAAATTGTGCAAAGTGAACCAGCCACAGGAACACCACCCAGGGCAGACAGAACATTCCAGCACCCAAAGCTCCCCACAGGCGCCTTGTGGTCACCCCCCCAAAAGGTCACCTTGTCTGCCTTCCAGCGTGTCGGGGATGATTCTGCCTGTCTTGGAGTTGGCACGGGGGGCGGTCTTTGGTGTGTGTGGCACGGTGGGCCTCTCAGCGTCACGGCTGAGCTGACCACGCCAGTCGTCCCCGCTGCTGTGCGGCGTCTCCGCGTGTGTCCGCCCTGCTGCAGTAGGACAGGTTGTTTCCTACTTGGGGCCGCTGTGGACACTGTCACTCTGAACACGTGGCGCCTGCGTGCGTGCAGTATTGTCGGTTACACGCGTGGGGAGGACTGTCGGGCCCCGGGGGTGTGGGGATTCTGGCGGGACCGCTTCGCGGTTCCCCAGAGGCTGGCGAGAGTTCACTCGAGTTCACAACTGCCGTCCCCTCTCCAAATTCCTGCCCTTCCAGGGGGACGTGGGTGTGGAGTGGCAGCTCGTCGTGTGGCCTGTCGTGTGCTCGTTGCCGCGTGGCCGCCTTCCGTGCGGATGCCTTTCAGGTCTGGCCCGGTTCTCGTTTGTCTGCGGGATTGTCCCTCTCGTGATGGTGGCAGCTTTTAACAGAGTCGGGACAGAAGTCTCCTTTCAGAAATAGAGTTTGCAAGTGTTTTCTCTCACCCTTCGCTGCCTTTTCATGTCCTTAAGGACATCTTTTGACAAATATTATAGAGGTTCTTCATTTTATTAATGGTCTGGTCTAATTTATCGGTTTCTCTCTTCTCCTCAGTGCTTTGTATGTCCTATTAAGAAACCTTTGCCGATCCCAAGGTCCTGAATAGTTTCCTGTTATATTCCAGAACCTTTTCATTTTACCCTTCACATTTAGATCGACCTGTTGTCTAGAGTTGGTTGGTGTGAGGTGGGATGAAGGTGCATCCCCGTCTGGCGCTCCAGTCGGTCCAGCGCTGTCCTCTCCACGGCGCCGTTGTCCTCTGTACCCAGCCGTGCGTGTGGGCGTCCCCTGGCCTGCTGGTCCCACCTCGTCCCAGCTCGCCCGCCTCAGTTGCTGTGGCTTTATCACAGGTCTCGATGGCAGGTAGTGGAAGTCCTCCAACTGTATCCTTATTCCAGATGTTTCGTCCTCTTTTTTGGCTCTTGGCATCCCAGTGGAACTTTAGAACTGGCTGGTCAGCTTCCTCCAGAATGCACTGTTGAAATTTTCATTGGGGTTGCCTCAAAAAATAGACTGAAAAATTGACGCTATCATTCAATTCATGATATTTTCTAATTTCCATTGCTATTTATAATTTCACCCGTGGCTTTTTTAGATTTCCAGACATTTGGGGATTTCCTTCTGATCTCTTCTGTTGATGTCAAGCTTAGTCCCGGTGTGGCTGGAACACACCGAAGTTCAGTCCTTCGACGTGTGTTGGGACCTGCCTCGCGGCCTAGCACGCGGTGCATCCCGGCGACGGTCGACGCTCTGTGCGTTCTGCGGTTGCTGGGCGCGGTGTCCTAACATAGGCAGGTTAGGTCAGGGTTGCTCACTGCTATTTCCAGATTTTTACAAAATTTTACTGATTTTCTTAATCTTGCTTATCAGGTGTGAGAAAGGTGTGATGCCTCCTACAGTAATTGCGGGTTTGTTCATTTCTCCTTTTAGTTCTGTGGATTTTTGCTTTTTATTTTGAAGCATGTTATTAGGAGCACACAGATTTAAGTTGGTGATATCTCCTTGTTGAATTGACTTTTTAACTGTGAAATGTCCCTTTTTATTTCTGGAAACACTTTTCTCCTTAAAGTCAGCCTTGTAGCTAACTCGGGTCTCTGCTTTGAGTTTGTGTTTGAACAGTGTAGCTTTTTCTTGCTTTTTCTTTTGATCTGTCTCTGCCCTTACGTTTAAGGAACATCTCTAGCATATAGCTGGCTTTTGTTTTGTTATCCGGTCTATTCATAGGAGTATTTAAGACTATTTACAGTTAGCATAATTACTGATTTTGGGGGAAAACTTCCCTCTTACTCCTTATTTTTTGTCCATCTCATCTGTTATTTTTCTATTTCTTTTTTTCTTTTGGATCAATCATTTTAAATATTTATTTTTTTTCATCTTTTAGCTTGTTGGTATGTTTCTATTCTCTTAATGTTACAGTACATGTAGTATATATAGTATGTGATGTGTATGTATACATATATAATACATACAGTATACAGTATGATATAGTGTGTGTGTATAGTGTATAGTGTGTAACGTGGTATAGTGTTTACAATGTCAAAGCGGGCAGTTGATGCGAATCCTTGACGTGTTAGAATCAACTGTAAATTAGGGTTTTTTTACCACTTCCCAGACAAAGCAAATCCTCCACAATATGTTAACTCCGTTTACCCTCCTCTGGCCTTTGGTGCTATTGTTCTTATGTATTTTAATTTTACATGTAGTTATTGTTTCAAATAGTCAGGATTTATTTACCATGATGCTCTGTGGTTTCTGTTTCCTGTCATTTGGTCCTGTCTTCTCGCATGCCTGGAGTTTCGCAGACTGTGTCGGAGGCGGCGCGGCGTCTGGGTGGTGCTGTCTTGCATCGTCAGAGGGTGGGCAGGACGCCTGTGTCCAGTTGAGGCAAATGTGTCTCCAGGGTGCTCTGCTCCTAGGGCACAGCCTCCCACTGCCTCAGTTGGACACCATGACCCTCAGATGTCCGATTTCTCCCCTTGGCATTCTCCCTCTTGCCAGCTGCTCTGGGCGCGGTTCTCTGAACAGCTGGCTGCTGGCACGTGCCCCGGGGAGAAGCACACGGGGTGTGGGGCAACTGCTCTGAGGTTTCGTTTTCTCCTTCAGGCTCCAGCTGCTGCGGAGCCCTCGCTCTTGGTGCGCAGTGCCCGGGCTCTGGGCTGCCATTCCCTGCTGCCCTGCTCGGCAGCTATGATTGGAGCGGGCTTCGAGGGCGCCAGGCCTCACCTCTCTGCCCGAGCGTTCTCTGGGGTCTTGGCCTCTCAAGTTTGACCTGCGGAGCATCCTCAACAGTGTCTTCAGTCAGCTGTTCTTTTTTTTTTTTTTTTTTTTTTTTGAGACAGAGTCAGAGTCTGGCTCTATTGCCCTGAGTAGAGTGCCGTGGTGTCAGCCTAGCTCACAGCAACCTCAAATTCCTGGGTTCAAGTGATCCTCCTGCCTAAGCCTCCCGAGTAGCTGGGACTACAGGTGCTTACCACCGTGCCCAGCTAATTTTTTCTATTTTTAGTAGAGACGGGTCTCGCTCTTGCTCAGGCTGGTCTTGAACTCCTGAGCTCAAGCGATCTTCCTGCCTCGGCCTCCCAGAGTGCTGGGATTACAGGCGTGAGCCATCGTGCCCAGCTAGTCGGGTGATCTTAATGTTTTTATCCAGCTGTTATAGTTAATGGGACGATGAGCTTGATGCCCGCTCCTGTGCATAGCCTGCGGCAGAAGTTTCTCGGTGAGTTTTCTGGCTTCCGCAGGCACGAGGAGGTCTGCTGCGCCATCAGGTGGCAGGTTTCCTGCTGTCAGGGCCCCAGCTTGTGGCCCTGGGCTGCTTTTAGGAAAAACAGAGTAAGCGTTGGGAAGACCTCCCGTGCCAGTATTCTTTTTACAAATTCCTCTCGTGTTTTTCTAGTACTTTCATGACTTCATTTCCTTCATTTAAATCTTTGCTCCAGTGTTTTAGTTTGGGGTAAGAAACAGAGTAGGTGTCCTGTGTTTTTTTCTACATGGTCCCCTAGTTGTCAGACAGTCTTTATGAAACAATCCGTCACTGATACGAAGTGTCGCTGCTGTTATGTATTAAGTTCTTGTATGTGTTTGGGCCTAGCTTGGGACTTGCGTTTCAGTGTATTGGCCGGTCTGTCCTTCTGTACTGTCTTGATTACAGTGCCCACTGCGCTGTGACTGCTGCTCGGCAAGCACTCTCATCCTGATCCCTCCTCTTCACTCCTGCGGGTGAATTTTCTGGGTGTCCTGTTCATCTTATTTTCTGAAAGAATGTTGAGATCAGCCCATCTGACTGCAAGAAAAATCAGTCCTGCTTTTTATTTTTTGGTCTAATTGGAATTTGTTGAAGCTGTAGCTTATTTAGGAAGAATCGCTACCCCTGCACCTTGGCCAGGGTATGACGCGTGTCGCGGCCTCTCCTGCGCGGCCCCGGGTCTGGCGCTCAGTTCCTCCTTCTCACCGGGCCTCTGTCCCCGCGGCTGTCTGCTGTGCTGGGATCTCTGCTGCCCTGGGATTTCCAGCCGGCTGTTTGTACGCAGCGAAGCTGTGGGTTTTCACATGTCAGTGTTAATTTTTACCCGTTCACCTTCCTGAACTCTTACTGGATCTCTTGGTTTTATCACCTGCGGCTTCACCTTCCGCCTTTCTAGTCGTCACAGTTTCTCCTCCTCTCTTGTCCCTGCGTGTCGTCCTGCACCTATAGCCATGGCAGTGTCAGTGTGAGTGGCTTGTCTTCCTGCCTCCGTGGGTGGCATCCGGTGCTTAGCCATTGGCTGACGTTGCCCCCAGCTCGATGTGCAGGAATCAGGGTGCATTCGCACCTCCTCACGGACGTAGCAGAAGCCCACATAGGCTCGCGTTAAAGAAATGGCCACGCGGCCTGCCTTGCTACCGTTAAGAGCTGGAAAGCGCGCTGGCCGTATTAACTGTGGTCCAACTGCGTGTGGAGGAGACGGCCAAACCTCTCCCTCTGACATGGCGTCAGGTGAGTCACAGACTGCGCCTGGAGACCCTGCCTCACGCCGCTGGGACACGGCGAGCCACGTGGCTGGCCGGGTGCGGTGCACGTAGACCGGGCCGAGGGCGCAGGCGTGGCCTGGATCTGAGTGCTCGTAGGAGGGTGGTGGTTTTCTGGCCCAGGGACCTGAAGAAGAGCCAAAGCTGGTGATGGGGGGACCTGTGTAGGGGCCATTTGGGCTGTGCTGGAAAAAGACACAAAAGAAGAAATGTTCTGAGACCCGTCCCCAGAACAACCAGGGAACATGAAAGCAAAATTGGCCCTGAGTGAATCAAAAGGAAACATCTGCCACTGCGTGTTCCATTCTTCATTTTGAAAACCGGAGAAATCAAAGGGTCTCTCCAATCCTGAGGAGCTGGGGCTTTGGTTCCACTACCCCGAAGCCAGCGGGGAGCTGGAGTGGTGGACGGGTGTGGGAGACGAGACAGCCGGCAGAGAGGCCCTCTTTTTAGTGGGAGTTTCTTCGCGCTTCTCCATAGCGTGTTCCAGACCTTCTTGGACTCTGGGCTGGTGGGTTTCCTTCCCGGGTGTCTTCCCGGCCGGCTGCTCTGGAAGGCCGGGGGCGCTCTCTGCTGACTTCACCCCAGCCCGCCACCCCGAGTCCTGCTCGGGGCATCTGTGGTTAGGAGTCCTTTCTCAGTTGAGTGCTTTCTGCCATTTCCTTAGAGCACTCGTGTGGTTTCCAAGGCAGATGAGGCCATGGGTCTTTTGGGAGAAGCTTGCTACCTCCCCCTGTTGACGGAGTTAATGTTTATTATTTTGCATGTGCTTTTTTTTTAAGTTGAGAAAGCCGAGGGTTGAAATAAATCATTCAAAGTCATGGATGAAATGTTGCCTTTGGCTTGTCAGTCTCCATGGGAATGTTAAGTGAGGTCCCTGTTGGAAATAACCTGACATAAAATGACCAAGCAAATGTCTTTGTCTTTGGGTCTGAAGCGTGGAAGAGACGGCCCACAGGGCTGGGTTTGCCTGCACTCTGGGGACCCCGACATCCCACCTGGGCTCCGTTCTCCTCCTCATTCTGGAACTCTCTTCTTCCCTGACCTGCTGGCTTTTCCCGATTAAGTACTCTTATTAGCAAGACTTCGCAGCTGCCCTGCGGGTGTTACGCAGACTCCGAAAGGGAGATACATTTTTCTTGTTGCTTCGCAGCAAGGTCGTTTCTGCCGTCGGCTGGAGAAGTGCAGGGTGCACTCGGGCACCTGCAGATGCGCCTGGTTAAAGAAATCAGCCCAGGACGGTGGCTTTGCCGCCCTGCAGGGCTGGGTCCCCACACTGAGGCGCGCTTCCCAGGGCTTCCAGACAGCAGAGTCTCCTGTCCAGGTGCCTTCGGTGGGGCGAGTCGTGTGTCCGCGTGGACCTTCCCCCGCCGCGCCTGCGCCTGGTCTCTGCTCCGTCAGGGAGAGCAGGACACGCGGCCCCAGCGCAGGGCAGCTCTGGCTGAGGATGGGTCACGAGGCTTTAGAACCTGAGGCCTGTCTCTGATGGCTTTCCCTCGGGCGCCCCCAGCGCTCCGTCCTGTGTCCCGCTGCTGCGCGGGCTTTTCCCGCACCCCGACCGCCACGAGGAGCTGAGGGCCGTGGGAGATGGAATGTTTCTTTCTTTTTCTTGAGACTGCCCTGGTCACCTTATAGACACCGTTACTGCTCTGGGAATGTCTCCTTCATGGTGAGGAGAGTGTAACGAGCTGGTCTTGGGCGCAGGGCTGAAGACGCATCCGCAGACTTTGAGGGGAGCAGCGGGGGCCCTTGACCCTGAGCTCTGTGTGCCGCAGAGCCTGCAGGTGCTGAGCGCCCCACGTGCCTTGGCCGTCCTGCCGTCACCTGAGACTCTGGCCAGCCGTGGCTGCTGCCGGAGGGGCCCCCACGTCCACGGCGCGCTGCGGCTGCCTCCCAGCACCGGAGCCGGCTGACCCGAGTGTCGCAGTACTTAGCTTCCAACAGCCGGAACCTGCTGCGAGTTCCTGGGGTGGCAAAGGAGGAAATGGGCTTCTCCCCGTGGTGGTTTGTTTTCAGAGAGCGAGTTCTCTCTCCTGTGGAGATCCGTCTTCTGCAATTGCGTTGCACCCAGAAAAGTCTCACCAGTTCTTTTGAACTGATTTTTTTTTTTTTTAAAGAGTCAACGTACCTTTCAGGAAAGGGTTTTGAGTCCTGGCTTTGAGACCACGTGGAGGTGGAGTGACAAGGGCCCGCTGGTTCTGCGGGACGCCACCTGGCGGCTCTTCTCTTGCGGGGCTCTGCCGAGCCAGGAGTCGCTGCTCCCCAGGGAGAGCGGAGCGGCCAGGCCAGGCAGAAACAGTAGCATCCGCCGCTGCCGTGGCGTAGCAGGGCAAGAGGAGAGTGGGCTCAACAGGCATGTTCTAGAACAGCAGGGGCCGCAGGAGGGGACGAAGCTCTGCGAGGTGACTCCCTGTGCTGGATCACTGAGGGCGGCAGTCACAATCCACTGTGAGGGCCTCCAGGAGGAAGGGGCTGAGTCCAGTGGGAAGAGGCCCCTCGAAAATCAGTCGTGCCTTGTGGTGGCTCACTGGGTGACCTGACGGGCACCCACAGCACAGCCAGAGAGAGGCGAGGGCCACGTCCTCCCCCACCTGATCCCTGCGGTTCTGGCTCCTCTTGCTACAGTGGCCAAGGGACCTGAACTCTCCCACAAGCTGGATCGGGGGCTGGGGCCTCTGCCTCCGTGTCCCGAGACTCCTGGAAGACATAGCCCCTCCTGCCCGCCCCACCCCTGTGGCCACGTGGCTCCTGCAGCTTCCCGCTGACAGGTCCCTGCGCAGCTGCCCTGGGGAGCCACGGTGTGTCAGGGTTCAGTCCTGCCTCCCAGCCGGTGCTCAGGCCAGGCTGATTGCACGTTTGCGCTGCCCTGTTGGGTGACACCCTGTGCCCGCCTGCACCCCATCCCCAGGGCCCCTGCCACGCCAGTCCCCACTGCTCTGGGCAGGGTGCAGGGGTGGTGTGACTCCTGTGCTCTGGGTCTTTGTCCCCCCAGGTGGTGCTCTGGGTTGGCCTGGGCATCCTGGTGGTCAGCACCCTCACCACCCTGTCTGTGAGCGAGGACGTCCCCATGGACGCGGCACAGGAAGCCCCCGGTGTCCGGCTGGGAGAGGCCGAGGGTTTGATGAAGGCGGAGGTGGCCCGGCTCTCAGGTACGTGGCTCTCAGGTACGTGGCTCCGGGGCACGTGGCTCTCATTGTGGCCACAGGCCCCAGCCGCCAAGCCTTCTCAGGGCAGTGTCCACAGGTCACCTCCAGCCAAGAGCATGCGGGTGGCTCTGTGCAAACTCTTGGATCTGGTGTGAAGACTTTGCTCACCTGCTCAGCAGCCTCTGTCCTGTGTGGGCGCAGCAGGGTGTGGGACCCACCAGCCTCGCCAGTAGAGGTGCTGTGTGTGTGGAGGGGCCGGGGTGCAGCCACCGTGTGTGGGGGACCAGGGGCTGAGGTCTCAGGGCTCGCCGTTTGGTGCGCTAAGTGATGTATGCACGTGTGGGTGTTGCTCGTGGCTGTGTTTGCTTTGCTTTGAGGAGGTAAATTTCCAGCGAATTTCTTCTCTGCAGAGTCATCGATGACGCCTCAGCCTCGTTTACCTGGTCGGTTATTTACAGTTGTTCACCAGGCCTGTGGGTGGAGTTGCAGCCCACACACCCCCATGCAGCTGCAGGCACCTCGGAAAGGGCCTGGCGGTGCTGCGCAACCTTGTCACCCCCTCCTGTGGCTGCGTGCCATGGGCGGTGTAGGCACTTTCTGGGGTACGGCTGTAGCTCATGTGTCTGGGGGTGGCTGATGTGCCCTGGCCCTCCCAGGCCTAGATGGGGGGCCACAAAGGGCAGCAGCGCCCCCAGCCCGTGCCTGCCCAGCAGTTCTGAGCAGCTTGGGTGCTGCTGTCTGCAGTGACACGCGCTCTGGGGACTGTGCCCCGATGGGGGCTGGGCTCCACGCGTCCACACTGCTGGTGCGTCTGCGCACATTCTGTTCGCGCCCTGCAGAGGGCCCCGGGCACCCTTCCGGGTGCCGCTCCATCGTGGCTGGGGCATTGCAGGCTGCCACGCTGGTGCTGGTGCTGGCGGGTGCTCCGGCCTTCCATCATGGCAGTCTCGGCACAGTGGCTCTGGGGCTTGCTGTGGGCTCTGTTCCGGGCCCAGCATTCCCCAGCCTTGGCACCTCGGACAGACTGCCCTCAGGGAAACCCTCCCGTGGGGCTGCCGCCCTGGACGCTGTGCTCGGAGGAGCCGGGCTGCTGTCTTCTGCCCTCCTGGAGTGGGAGGGCAGGTGAGAAGAGGCCTCCGTTGCGGGCCAGTGGGGCCCAGGAGCAGGAGAGGCCTGCAGGGCAGACGCCTGTGGACCGCTGGGGTCACCAGAGAAACAAAGGCGTGTTCAGAAATCGCAGGTGTCTGGTGCTGCCTTGCGTCAGATTTGGTAATTTAGACTGAAAAATGTCCACTGAAGAGGGAAGTGGATGTTGTGTGTCCGCCCAGGTGACGGCCCCAGGTTCGGCCCGGCCAGGGAGGGCCAGTTTGATGTCCCTGTTAGAGCCAGTGGGCTCAGGGTGGGTGCTGACGTGGGAGCATCAGTGGGAGGGAGAGAGGAGTCGGGGCGAGGGTGGCCCCGTGGGGCTCCGGGAGCTGAAGGCTGAGTGCCGGGCCCACCCTGCACAGGGCTGCCGCCAGCAGGGTTCCCGTCCCACAAGGAGCTTCTCGGTGTCAGTCAGCACCCAGGCTCCCTGTCCCCGTGGCGCTGCGCGGTCCCCCAGCCCACGACTGGCCAAGCAGCTGTGTCCTGTCACTGAGGCTCGCACGGGCCACCGCTCACCTGGTGCCCTCTGAGGCCACATCTGGTTTCTGTTTCTTGTGTGAGGCTGTAACAAAACACGTGGCCCCTCTCAGAACCACATGCTGTTTGTTTTTAGCATGTTCTCCAACTTTCTAGCCCCCGGCCTCCCCCTTAACTGACGGGCTGCCTTGCTGGGGCAGTGCTGGGGACGGCGGCCTTGCCACGTGCCCCTTGGACTGCTGTCGGCACGACCCCCGTTTCATTGCTCTCTTTGATGTTGCAGAGGCCAAACACGGTACCTGCAGACTTGGGTGAGAGCCCTGCCCTCTTGGGGGACACCGTGCCTGGCACAAGAAGCCTGGGCGCCAGGCACAGCCATCACAAGCGTGGCCGAGTCCCCATGAAGGTTTCTGACAATCATCCATTAAAAGAAGGCTAATTAGGCCATTCATGTCTGTGATCCACAGCACCCTGGAGGACCTGGGGTGGTTTTGTGGCGTTCGGTCCCTTCTCAGATGGTGGGTTCCTCCTGGTGACGTTGCATCCCACACCGTGCCCTGTTGGGCAGCATGGCCTGGACCCGCACCCTTTGGGCAGCTTGTCCCCATTCCCCCTGCATGGCGGGGAAAAAAAGGCCAGGGGCCCAGGCTGCAGCAACGCAGGACGGGACGTGCTGGATGGGGACATGTCACACGTGTGGACGCAGGGGCAGAAGTGACCACATGTCTCCACTAAGGCCGGAGCGGGTACACACGGCTTGACCCAGGGCAGAGGCTGTCCTGGCCACCGAGGGATCCCTTCTGAATCCAGCCATGTCCTGTGGGGCTGGTGGTGAAGTCAGCTTACCACTGTCTCGTAAGAAGCCAGCAGAAAAACCGGACAAAAGTGACAACAGGAGGAAAGGCATGTGGGACACAGCAAAGGAGTGGTTGGAAGCTTTCCCAGCAGGGCACGGGAGAGCTGTCCGCAAAGCTGAGAGAAGGGACAGTGTGTGGCACTTTGGCGAGCATCTTGGCGCTCTGTCCAAGGATCTGGGAGCCTCTCCTACCGCCTTGCAGGTCGCAGCCATGGGGGCGCAAGCAGGTTCTCAGGGGAGCAGCTTCCGCCTGCTGGACGTGCTTGGGGCCGGCCCTGTGCCCCTGTGCAGCACTTGGGTGCCAGGAGCCAGGTGATCTGAGCCACTGGGATTCCCCTCCATCTGGAAAGATGAGGCAGCAAGGTCATCTGCCAGCTAAGTCCAGAAGTTTGGGTTTTAAAATTTAGCCTTTGATAAGTAATGCTTTCCTCATGCCAACACCAAAGGAAAGTCAGAAATCAGTTAGTAGGAAAGTTACTTAAAAGCAGGGACTAGCTTTAGAAAGTCCCTTATTAAAAGGCCATTTTACTTTTCCTTTTTTTGAGACAGGGTCTCACTGCGTTGCCCAGGCTGGTCTCGAGCTCCTGGCCTCCTGAATGGCTGGGATCACAGGTGCAAGCCACCGTGCCTGGCTGGGTGGCCATTCTGCTCACATTGCAAGTTTACAGCCCTGGGGTACTGGGTCTCTGGAACTCCATCAGTGGGATGCTGGGATAGTGTTTAAAAATTGCTACATTTGGCGGTCTGAGCTGGCCGTTTCCATCTCCACTGATGAGTGCGCAGAGAGCGATGGGTCACAGCCAGTGGCCAGCAGAGCTGCCCTGTGGATGCACCACGTTAGGGGACACACGGAGGCGCGTGCCCAGCTCCTGGCCCTTCTGCCATGGCCTCCAAAGTGGACACCAGCCTTGAACGCAGTGGTCAGGGGGCTGTGTTGGATGTTGCCTCTTCTCCTCCCAAGAAGGAGGACTGTGACCCTGGGTCACACCCCAAGTCCCTGAGTGTGTCTGATCCAAAGAGAGCCCTGAACCATGGCCTGGGCCCTGGCGGGCAGCGGGAAGGAGAGGAAGGTCTGCGTGCAGCGCCTCCCACTGCCAGTGAGTCCAGGCCTCCGTCTGTTGTGAGGGAGGCACCTCGGGAGGTGGGCCGTCACGTGTCACCACATTGGCGCATTTCTGCATGTAGGAGGAGCTGCCAACCTGCGCCAACGCCTGGCAATAAGGAGCTGCCAGGATACAGCGTAAACATGGAATTTTCCTGGTCCGGATGCCAGTGGTTCTGGTGGGTCGTGCTGTCTGGTGACTGGCGGCAGCACTGGAGCAGAGCAAGGGTGGCCAGGGTGGCTGGCGCTCGGCGGGCCCAGGGCCCTGTGCTGGGCACCTGGACAGGGCAGGGCCCTCACCTGCCCCACGGGAGGCCTCCCGCTGCAGGGTAGTTGGGCCTGCCGCTCACCTCCTAAGAGAAGAAATTCGGACACCAGAGTTCCGCTCCCTCTGGTAGCCTGCTCACCACACAGCCGCTTCCTGCCTTTGCTGCAGCCCAGGCCTGGCAGACTCGGGGTGTTTTTCAGTTGCTAATTTTGAAGTTTTGCGTTAATTTTACTGTGGCTCTGCTGGCACGCTGTCCCCGATGAAAAGTCTAGTTCCGTTTTATTTTATTTATTTTTTATTTTTTTTGAGACAGAGTCTCACTGTGTTGCCCTGGTTAGTGTCGTGGCGTCATCCTAGGTCATAGCAAACTCAAATTCCTGGGCTCGAGTGATCCTCCTGCCTCAGCCTCCTGAGTAGCTGGGACTACAGGTATGCGCCACCATGCCCGGTTAATTTTTTCTCTGTATTTTTAGTTGTCCGATTAATTTGTTTCTATTTTTAGTAGAGACGGGGTCTCACTCTTGCTCAGGCTGGTCTCGAACTCCTGAGCTCAAACAATCCACCCGTCTCGGCCTCCCAGAGTGCTAGGATTACAGGCGTGAGCCACCGTGCCCGGCCTAGTTCCGTTTTAGAAAAGGCTGTGTCCACTGCCTGCGGACAGCTGCGCAGTGCTGGGGCCTCCCCATCCAGCTATGAGCCCAGTGCGCAGGCAGGACGCTCCGAGGCGCCGCCTTCTGGGAAGGTTCTTCAAAGGGACCTCTGAGGCAACTGCACATGTGCTGCAGCCACTCCCCGTCCTGTGCAGTATCGCTCCCGGGAACCCCACGGAGCTCCTTCGGGCCGGAGAGTGGGCCGGGCCATGTGATGAGCTGGGTTCTGTTTCCTGCTGAGAAAACGGCTGCGCAGAGGCAGCTTGTCCTGTTTCAGGATGAGATGTTCTTTGTTGTGTTTTCTTCCCTCCAGCCTCCCTCTCTTCACTCTGAGATCCACGAGACAGACCCTCTGGACTTGTGGTGCTGCTTGTTTGCACGGGAGCCTCTGCCGGGGCGGGGGGTCGGGGACGTGATGGAGACCAGCACGTTTCACCCACTTGGGGGGTGGCCACACGCTTACTGAGCGGGCCCCGTGGCTCAACTGTAGAGTCCAGTGTCTGCTTTCTGTGGGCTGGTCCAGCACCGGTAGGGTGGTTCCTTCCTTCTCGAGTGAGTTTGAGACTCTGCTCCCGACGGCAGCGGCGTGGCTTCTGCACGTGTCGTTCTGCCTCCCTGGACGAGACGTCAGGCGGGTCTCACGACACTCCTGCGCGGCTCTGGAAATGTCTCTGTTTCCGTCCCCCTTGGGAGGTCGTAAGACCCTCTAGGCCCCTCTGCACAGGACTGTGTGTGGATCCCCCCAGGTGCTACACTCGGCCCGTGGTCTGCAGTGCCCGCCTCGGCGCCTCCTGGGGCTCTGTCCTTCCGCCTCCCCTCTCCTGGGCAGCGTGTGTCCCTGAGATGGGCGCAGAGCTGCTCCGGGCCTCGGGAGTGCCGTGAGGCTTTTTCCCAAAGTCTTTCCCCTTAGCTTGTTCTTTAATTTCTGCTGTGTTTCCTAACACATAGAAAGTGGCTTTTTGGAGTGGATGTCATTTCCCAACCGGCTCCATGTGGACCAGTTCTGCGGACCCACCGGCTGCTGTGTGCTGTGTGGCTCTCCGAGCTGGGGTCTGTTGGGACACAGATCGCGCGGCACTCATAGAACGGGTGAAGGCTGCAGGTCTGGAGGGCTTTCCTTTTACTTTTCCTGAGACAAGGTCTTGCTCTGTCACCAATGCTGAGTGCAGTGACACTATCCTAGCTCACTGCAGCCTCCAACTCCTGGGCTCAAGCGATGCTCCTGCCTCAGCCTCCTGAGTAGCTGAGACTACAGGCACCACCAGGCCTGGCTAAGTTTTCTATTTTTAGTAGAGATGGGGTCTTGCTCTTGCTCAGGCTGGTCTCGAACTCCTGAGCTCAAGTGATCCTCCTGCCTCAGCCTCCCCGAGCACTGGGATTATAGGCAGGAGCCACTGTGCCTGGGCCAGGCTTTCCTTTTTTTCCTCTTCCTTTGCACGTGAGTCTTCCCCATGCCCAGTCAGAAGCTGACAGAGTCGCAGAAGTAACGCTCTCAGGGCCGCTTTCCTTAAAGGCTCTGGGCCTCCCCTCCCCCAGCCTTGCAGAGGGGCGGGTGAGGGGTGGGACACGGTGGACGGTCAGTCACGGGTTTTTGCTGCCATCTGGTGGTGACAGCTGAGGGCTGCATGGAATCTGGGTCTTCCTGCCCCCAGTTAGGTGTAAATTGCATTTTGACATGTTTTTGTTATGAATACACATGAAAAATGACAGTTTTCTATGCTACTTAGCTGCTAACGATTGAACAGGAAAAAAATAATTGCTTAGGCTGTGCCGTTCAGCTGAGAAACATGCTCGCAGCCCAGAGAGGGCGCCAGCGCCTCAACAGGGGCGTGCGAGGCTGTGCAGCTGACGGTACTGTGCCCACAGTCCAGGACCCGCCTGCGGACGCAGCCGCGGACAGCCATGACGAGCCGAAGCCACCTCAGCCGAGGGAGGACCTGGAACAGGCCCAGATCAAGGGCCCCGTGGAGATGCCTGGGCGGGAGGACGCCAAGGAGACGCAGCAGGAGGCCCAGCTCGATCGCCCTGGTCAAGGTGGCCTGGCGCTTGCTGTGGGGGAACGGGGAGAGCAAGGGGCCCCTGCCGAGCCTTGGCGGGACTCTGGGGCTGTGTCTTTTCCCCTCAGCCCCGTCTAAGCTCTGGTCCTTCTGTCTTCTCTGTCCCCTGGCCAGAGCCACCTGTCTGCAGCTGCTCTGGCTATACCTTCCTAGAAATGGTTCAGTGCCCGACCAGACAGCAGAGGGAGGTGGCGTCTGTTGGCCTGTGGCATGGCATCGTAGGACCCCGTCCCAACTCCCTGGGCAGGGAAGGTGGGGTTCCCTCCTCACCTGTCCTCTGTCCTTCCAGGCGTTGCCGTCCCTGTGGGCGAGGCCCACCGCCACGAGCCCCCCGTTCCTCATGACGAGGTGGTGGTGGATGAAGGCCAAGACCGGGAAGGCCCAGAGAACAAGGCTCCGTCCAAACACATGGATGAGAAGGCTGTGGGGAGCAAAGGTCAGATGGCGCCGCCCCTGCCAGGTTCCGAAAGAGAGGAGCACGAGCCGGCGAAGGGAGAGGTTGGGAAGAAGCCTGGACAGGACCAGGCCGCGGAGGAAGTGGGTGGTCTTCCTGAACATCCCCAGAAGGTTCCAGAAGCAGACGGCCAGCCAGCTGTCCAGCCAGCGAATGATGACCTGGGGCCAGGTAACCAGGACCTGCCTCTGGGGCCCCAGGCAGCTGCGTACGAGAAGCAGGACGCCCAGGCAGCAGACGCAGGGGACAAGGCCGGCAGGGCGCCGCTGCCGGGCAACACTGCGGGGGACAGCGAGCTCGGTGGGTGTCGGCCTGGGCCCGGGGGGTTGGGGGGCAGGAGGAATTAAGGAGGTTCTTATCTCTGCCCCCCGACTCCCGCTCCACAAGACGAGCACGTGAGAGGAGCAGCCCCTCGGCAGCTGGTGGGAAAGCTGGAGTCTGGTGGTTGACAGCTCCTCTCGTATCTGTCACATGCTGCCTGCCAGACCACTAAATGTCAGGTGCCACACTGTTCTCGTGCGTCTGGGCGGACACGGGGGCGGCTTGACAGGTAGCACATTGTTAAGTGCCCGTCTAGGAGCCGGCTCGGACGCTCCTCGCATTTTAATTGGCGAAGGTGGTTAACGTTGGCTCCCTGCCACAAGCCTGGGAGATTGCGAAATTTTTTTTTATTGCTTCCCGGGCAGTCGTCAGGTTGAATGTAAACTGTGCTGACGGGGGAGGGGGCGATGGAGTCGTTCTAGAAACATCTGCTGCCTCCTTTTGTGCCTCCTCTTCCTTCTGGGCCGCTTGCGACGTTCTGCAAAACCTGAGCCCTCCCCTGCGCGCAGGTGGGAAGGCTGCCCTCCCGGAAGAGAAGCCGGCTCCCGGGGCCGGGCCGCCGCCAGAGGCTCGTGAGCAGAGGGACGCGGAGCGACCAGGCGGAGACCAGGCGGGCAGCAAGTTGGAGGGTAAGGGCTCCGCTGGGATCTCAGGCCCGGGGGCCAGCAGCCCCTTCCCCAGCCCCAGGGCAATGACAGGCTTTCCTGGGTCCACCCTTTCCTGGGCCCCACTGCTCTTTTCGGCTGTCCGCAGAGCAGACGCCTTCGATGGCGCCCTCTCCCTTCCCACTAACAGCTTTCTTGCTGGCACCTCCCTGGGAACATTCTATTCCCCTTTCTCCCCTGTAAAAACCTGCCGCTCTGTCACGTGGCTTGTAATTACCTTTTTCGTTTCATCTTGAAGCAGGTATGTGAATATTTCTAACACTCGTGGTGTTTAAAGCCAGCCGGGTGTGCGGGGTTCGGCACCTAGATGTGTGGACTGGCTTTAAGGCTTACTCTGCTGGGAGCCCGGCCTGGGTGTGGCTGTGCCCGCCCTGGTCCCTGGTGGTGTGCCCCCAGCTCTGGGAGCACCGTGTGCGTCCGCGGTGGACACCGTCACATGTCCTGCCAGGAAAGCCCGTCCTGCCTTTTCTCCCGAGAGAGAGAGAGACTCTCTCTCTGCTTTGACTCTTCCTGCAAACGTTCCTGCCGTTTGCGGTTGGCCGTGCTGCAGCTTCTTACGTCCCTCCTCGTGGCCTCGCCTAGCCCGCACTTCCTCTGCGGGGGAGGTGCCAGCAACCCTCCAGCAGCCAGGCCTGCGGAGTACTCCTCTGTCCCGACAGGCTTGTGCCACGTCCCCACGTCCCTGGTCGCCCCTCGAGGGTGTGCGGCCCAGCCTCCACCCCAGGCGTCACCTGCTGCTTCCTGAGGATGTCTGGCTCTCCGGGCCAGCCCCGCACGGCCTCTGTGTCGGCGCTGGGAGGGTGCGCTGCAGTTAGCGTGTGGGTCACAGGGCCGAGCCGCTGCTCAACTCTCTTGGGCCCAGCCTGGGAGCTGGTCCTCTGGCCTGAGGGTCGGCTTTGCCTTTGGACACGCCCCACGAGGTCCATAAGACATGTGGCTTCCTTACCATGAGTCTTTCTTTGCTTTGCGGTCCCAGGGCCTCAGGACGGCCTGTCCCGAGCTCGCCTGTGCCACTCCCGGGGCGCTGCGGCCAAGACAGAGCTGCCCTGCGGGTCCTCCCGGGCCCAGGCTTGGACGGCAGAACAAAAGGCACACGTCGGGTTTCCGGAGTTCAGGGGCTGACTTAAGAGTCTTCACACGTTGCTTTTGTCTCTAATTTTAGTCTGGCTTTACTTACTGGCTCCAGTTGCTGTGATCTGTTACCTAAACCTGTTTGATTCTTTGATTTTTCTCTTCTAAAAAAGAGACTTTCACAGTTTCCTATTCTGCCTTTCTCCCATACGCCTCTCACCGGATGGACAGCTGAGATTAAAAAGATAGTGGCAGGTAGGAATCGAAGGGATGTGTCTAGAAGGGATGTGTCTACGCAGGAAGTGTGTTTGTGGAGGGTCACAGGTGTGCGGCCAGCGGCTCGGCCACACCCGTGACCCGCCTGGGAACAGCCCTGCATGAGCGCACGGTCCGCCCCGCCCCGGGGCCGGCACAACGCCCCTCCCCTGGCTCAGTCACAGCCACCACCTCGGGGCCCTGACACCTGCTCGCTCCCCTTTTTGCACGTGCCTTGGTCCCCTCAGCCCTGCTTTGGCACCACGTCATCAGAGGACAGCTGAGTGGCAGCCGTGAGCGCTGGCTGCTTCAGGCACCGCCTGAGAGACAGAGCGTGGCTGCCTGTGCCCGCCGTGCATGGGGCCGACGCCAACACATCCCGCACGTGCCCCGCCATGTGCCTGGCCCCCATCCTACTGCAGGCCCTGTCCCCGGGGTCCTGGTGGGCTCTGGCTGTGGGGACAGCTGTCACCTCCACACTGTTTCACGTCTGTCCACATGGCTTCTGGCTGGATGTGGGGCCCCTCCCCCCTTCCCCCTCCTCCCTCTGCCTGCCCCTGCTCTTCTGGAACCCCCCCTGGGGGACGGGGGGCATGAGCAGCATGTGGGGCCCTGTCATTGCGCCACTGACCTTGATGTGGCTGAGACTTGCAGACAGCCGGGGGAGAGCGCGGCCCATGGCAGAGGTGGCTGGTCTGTAGCCCAGTGGGGACAGTGCCCCAAGCTTCCTTGTCCAGAGGGAGGTTTCCAGGAGCCCTGCTCTGCGTGGCGTGGCCCGTCCCTGCAGGCAGGCATCTGGGACCGGGCCCTGGCAGGGAGCAGAGGCTGCCGCTCAAGGCTGGCCTGGTGGCCCCACCCTCTAAGGGGTCTGCCTGTTGTCTGGGTGGTCGGTCCTGTCCTCCTCAGGGTTGGTCTCCATGTGCTCCTGGCTTGTCCATCCCGCTGCACGTCCTTGCACCTGCCCCCTGGGGTCTGGGCGAGGCCCAGGGCTGCGTTCCTGGGAGACCGCTGACGTGGCCAACACTGGGGACGAGGGCCCAGCAGGTCAGCCTGGCTGGGCATGTGGGGCCTCACTGGGATGTTTGCTCTCACTATTTGGAAACACTCTTCTTGCTCTGATTTAAACGTTTACACCTGACACTTAACACATCGTCTTCCAAAGCTTCCTAATATGAAAACGTACATGTAAGAAATCACACGAGCCGTGGCTGCTTGCTGCAGACCCCCGACCCGGCGCTGAAGCACATGTTGAAAGCGCGCGCCGTGCTCCCCAGTGCAGCGCCTGCCCCAGTCTCGCGGGGGGGCGGTGGCCAGGGGCAGCAGCAGCATAGCTGGCCGGGGCCTCAGATGCACCAGCTTCCATCCTCTGAAATTCTTGCCTTGGAGGAAACTTTGTAAAAGGACTAATAGTTTTTAAAAATAGTTTATAGCTTTTTATTTTTTTACATGTTTGACCTAGAACAACCGAATGTGTAAAATGAGGGAAAACCCACCCAGACTAGACAGCTAGCACTGACCTTCCGGCATATTCCTCCGACGTGGTTTTTCTGTGGACACTGTCTTCAGTGAGCACTCGGCCAGCCAGGCTCTGCCAGGGGTGTCCATGCAGTGGCCGGTGGAGAGCCGGAGCTGGCAGCGTGGTCACTGGCCACGGTGGGCTGCGCTAGTCGGTGTGCTTGTGCGTTCGGGCGATGAGGGCTGTCGGGGCAGACTCCCTGCAGGGGATCTTGGTGTCCTCACTGCCACGTGCTGAGCCATCCTCAGCCTGGCCAAGCACGGGCAGCCCCAGCATCGTCTGATCGTGTCTGTGTTTTCCGGATGCCAGAAGCCGGCAGGGCGGAGATGCTGGACCATGCCGTGCTGCTGCAGGTCATCAAAGAGCAGCAGGTGCAGCAGAAGCGCTTGCTGGACCAGCAGGAGAAGCTGCTCGCGGTGATCGAGGAGCAGCACAAGGAGATCCACCAGCAGAGGCAGGAGGACGAGGAGGACAAGTCCAGGCAGGGTAGGCCGGGCGAGGGGGCAGAGCCGATCCAGGCCCTGGCCAGGAGGGGACAGGAGTGGGACGAGGTGGGGGACGTCTCTGGGTGTCCTTGTGTGGCTGGATCTAAGGTTTGGGGCCTAAAGTCCTGGAGGGTGGATCTAGGTCTCGGTTCGTAATTCTTAGTCGCCGCAAGTTTGTCCTTTCCAGCCCCTCCCTCAGTGGCTTGGGTTTGTTCCCGTGGGTAAATTGGTGACCGACTTCATTTGTAGTGGACGTGCAGCCAGAGCCCGGGGCGGCCGTGCCCAGAGGCCAGGAGGCCCGTGATGGCCGGGCTGGGGAGGCAGTGGAGAAGCCACCTCCGCAGCCTTTGGAGCCTGAGCCCGGAGCTCCCGGGGGTCGCCCCACTCCACCACAAGAGCCTGGCCAGCGCTCCCCGGAGGAGCCCCAGGACACTGCGGGCAGAGACCTTGCTGGCCCCCCTGACGGCGGCTCCGACATGGAGGCCCAGGCAGCCCAGGCCCAGCCGAGAGAAGGCTGGAAGGACACTCTGCCCGTGGCAGCCAGTGTTGTGAGGGAGCTGCCCTCCAAGGGCCTGAAGCAAGTGCCCGGCCTAGACCCCGCCGGGGCGCCCAGGAGCCCAGAGGAGCGGCCGGCTGAGGAGTCCTTCAGGCAAAGTCAGGACCTTGTCGGTGGAGGTTCCCAAGACAAGAAGAAACCTGGGGAGGAGGCAGCAGGTGCTGGCGCCAGCATTCGGAAGGGGGCTGACCGGCTTGTGGCAGCGCCAGGAGGGACTAGGGACCCTCGCGTGAAGTCCAAGCAGACACACCGAGACCTGGGCCTTGCAGCGGGCCTGCCCGGCAGGTTGGAAGGAGCAGCCCCGCAGCCCCAAGTCGTGCTGCGTCAGCCGGAACCGCAGGCCATCTCTGACGGGGCTCGGGGTGGGCAGCAGGGCAGCCGGCTGGGGCAGGGCACTCCCCTGGAGACAGGAAAGGAAGCCCTCGGTGGGGACCACGTGCCCCGTGAGCAGCCAGGAGCCAAGGAGGACGCTGCTGTCCAGGGTCCCAGACAGAGGCCAGACCCTGAGCCTGGGCCCAAAGTAGTCCCCGGGGCTCAGAAACCAGACAACGCCAAACCCAACCGAGACCTGAAACTGCAAGCAGGCTCCGACCTTCGGCGCAGACGGCGGGATCTTGCCCCACGTGCAGAGGGCGAGCCAGCCCCTGAGGAGGGGGTCATCAGCTTTAACCCCCTGCCCGACGTCCAGGTGAACGGCCTCCGTGAAGCCCTGGGCTCCCAGCTCCGCCAGGCCGCAGGGGCCGCCCTGCAGGTCCACAGCCGGCAGATCAAACAGCTGCCTGGGGCCCTGGAGGAGGCCTAGCGCCTGCTGGAGGAGACAGCTGTCCTCAGTCATTGGCGGGTCTCCCTGGCCACGTCCAGGCTGAACTCTGGAGTTCACGCTCATTTCTCCCCCTGGGTTTCACATCCGAGGCCCTTGTGGAATGTGGTGCGTGAAGAAATTTTGTTTCCAGAACATTCTTGCGGTCTGTTGCACTCGGTCTGAGGTCCTCTGATCTCTGGGGACGCGGAGCTCAGTCCTGCCCATGAGGAGAAACGGCGCGTGGCCAGTGCTGGCGAACACGCGCTCTGGGGTGTGGGCTCTGGGAGACGCCGGGCTGGGCGCGTGTCCCTGCCCCCGCTCAGGCCGTCTCCGCGGGGAGCTTGTGGTGTACAGGTCGAGCCAGACGGTGAGACTGGGGAGCAAACGCCTTCACCCCTGCGCTGCAGTCCCAACGCGCGGCTGCTGCGAGAACCAACCATTCAACCGCGAACTTAGTGACTCGGAATTTTAATTATTTATCTAATGTTTTCCGTGCGTGTTGTAGAGAATCTCAAATAAACACTTTTGCCTTCACCTGCGTCTCCCAGCTAGTGCTGTTGGCGTCTGGGAGGTGCAGGGGGCAGAGGCCGGCCCGGAGTCCGAGGGTGCGGCTGGACGCCGCCCCCACACCTGACAGCGAAGTGGGTCTGAGGGAAACCCAAGGGGACCCGCGCCAGATTCTGGACCCTGGTGAAGCAGGGACTAGAGGCCACGAAAGACGGTCCCGTTAACCAGCTGTCGTGCTGACCCATGCACCGCACGTGACCCGTCCTGCTGGCAGGAGACCTGTCTGGTGCTCGGGGGGCGTCCAGACCCAGGGCCAAGCTGATGGCCGGGCCGGCCCGCGACCAGGGCGAGCCTGGCGGCATCTCGCTGCCTGGGGGTGGGGGAAGAGCGCTGCACACACACGTCAGCAGGTGCCGCGTCGCCCCAGCCTGTCGGCCCAGGCCACCCTCCCGTCCTCTCTGGTCAGCGTGTGGTCAGGGCCTTACTCCCGTGAGGTTCCCATCCACGTTGTCTTGGCTGGGAGGCTGTTGTGTTTCGGCACCACCTCACCCTCGAGAGGCGGCTCCGCGGCATCCCAGCTCCGTGGACGGGGGTAGCCTCGCGCCGAGACCTTCCCGACTCCACCCCGAGCGTGCCTCCCTGTCTGCGGAGCCACCGCCAGCCCTGCCACGAAGGGCAGAGGTGCCTGGGCCCAAGAAAGGACTCTGCAAACAGTCCTCACACGGTGGCCTGGCTGTGGCCTCGGTGGTTTTTCTCCTGCACCTTTTGAAATCCTGCCTATGTTTTCCTGTGATTTCTTAACTTGAAGGATGTTCTCAGGCAGCCTGGAGACTCAAACGTGAACAAAGGAGTAGAAGCTTCCAGAGGCTGAACTGTGATTCCTGCCAAACCCCACAAGCTGGGCCTGGGGGCCACGGGGGTTGTGGGTGCTGCTCACACAGGAGGGACGCGCCCAGTCCCGGCTCCCTCTCCATTCTTCATTCCCGAATAAAAATAACTCCGAAGAAGCCATTCGCTCATTGGTACATCGCCTTCTGGATGTTTCCCTCGGACAAACTCTGTTTGTTAAATTGCTTGGAATGGGATTTTCATTCTGCTGGATTTTCCCAAATGTCTTATGGTCCACTTTTCTTTTTCTTTTCTGGAGGTCACCACGCCTCATTAGAGCAGGGCAGGGCACCGCCAGCCCCGCACAGACAAACGTCCGTGACCGGCTTCGCCTCTGCTGTCACCCTCCCACAGCGCGCTCCAAAGTCCCTGCACCCCGAACGCGGGCGGGGCCGTCCCCAACACACGCTCCCTCCTGGCTCTGCACCCCCAGCTCAGCCGGCAGCCCCTCAGGTGAGGAGAGAGATTCCTCCTCACAGAAGCCACACAGACCCCCGTGGGCCCGGCTGGGCTTCACTGGTGCCCACAAGCTGCTCCCGGCTGCGTCGTGACTGTGAGCACGGCTAGCGGGCCGGCAGACGCAGGGCCAGGTCAGCCCTGGTGTAGGCGACACAGACATGGCGCTGCCTCTGAGGGCTCCTTCCAGAGTAGGGACACCCGGGGCCAGCAGTGCCCAGTCAGCGGCGCCCGCTTCTGCGCAGGGCAGACAGCACACAGCGCACTCACCGAGGCCAGGACTCAGTCCTCAAAGCACTTCACACGTTGCCCAAGGGCAAGACATCTGCTGTGGCTTGAATGCGGCTCCTAAATTCCGGTGTGGCTGACGTGATCATGCTAGGAGGCGGGGCCTGCAAGGGGTGACTAGAGACGCGCGCGGTGTGGGGGTAGCTTGCTCTTTCCCTCCGCCTCTGCCACGTGAGGACGTGGCAAGGCCCTCCCCAGACACCAATGCCAGTGCCTCGATCCTGGACCTCCCAGCCCGCAGAACTGTGAGAAATAGGTTTCTGTTCTCTATGAACCACCCAGCCCCAGTGCTTTGTCGTAGTGGCAGGAACGGAGTTAAAGCTCCACGTGGGCATGGATGATGCCACTTTGTTGAGCTGTCCTGGGCAGATGTGGTCCTGAGACCGAGTAGTCTGGGGGCAGAGGGCGGAGAAGCACAAAGGCAAAGGCCGAGGGAGGCGTGGAAGGAAACTGGGGGTCTGAAAAGGAGGGGCCCCAGAAGGTGTGGGCCACACTGGGCTGCGAGGGCTGGTGAGTCCGTCTGCTGCCTTGGACAGAGGTAGGCGTGAAGGGCAGCGGGTGGGAGCACCTGGCAAGACAGGGCTGAGGGGCCTGAGCAGGTGGGCCGTGGAGCCCAGGCTTGGAGGCCTTCGGGAAGGAGACGCCAGAGCGCCGGGCACCGCGCCATCAGAGGGCTGATCACGGGCAAGTCTGAGAAGGGCAGCCTGGGGGCAGGTGGTACCACGACCGGAGGGCAGTAGGGCTGTCCCTGGCCACTCCCGCAGCAGCAGGAGGGATGGGCCGCAGCAGCTCAGCTCAGGGTCCTGCCAGCATGTTCTAGTCCTGAATTCCTGCAGTTCCCGTGAGATATGACACTGTCCTGCGCAGTGGGACAAAATCCAGCCACTCCGGAGCCTGAACGACCAGAACAGCTCCTGCAGACTCGCACACAGCAGAGACGTGGGGTTCTCGACACGTGGGAACCGAGCTGGTTCTGGACGAGCATTCAGGACCCGTGGAGGCGCAGACCTCCCCTCCCAGGGCTCAGCTCAAGGACAGTGTGACCTCCACGCCCGGGAGGGAGGGGACTCAGCACAGTCCCCACCTCGCCCAGCAGATGGCGCTCAGGACCCATGGAACGCTCGGTCTGCGTGCTCACGTGCGTGTGTTGTTGTATCAGGGTGGAGGGAGGGGAACAGGGAGGCGGAGTCACCGTCCTGGGCTTTGACGCCCCGTGGAGACTGCGGCAGCTGGGGAGGGGGTGGCAATCGCTGTTGGTGTCCTAAACAGGCCCTCTTGGCAGCTCGGGCCCTGACGGTTAGTCCAGAAGAGCCCCTGCCCCAAGTCCAAGAAAGTCTTTGCAGAGGGTCCCCTGCCCTGTGGATGTTTTTCCCTCATCGGGTCACTGTACTTTTACCTTCAGTATATCCTGTAAATGCAGTGAGGTCTATAGGCTTCACTGGATTCAGAATAAATACTTTGGGGAGAATGTTTTTAATTGGGGACCCTGAAGCACAGTGTTCCCAAGGACCAGCCCTGCCAGTTTTTTGGGGGAGGCTGTAGGCTCCATTATACCTGGGAAAGGCCAGGGCCCACACGCCACGCTCTGCACACAATAAACCCGACACCATGATTACTCGATAGAGTCTTTATCCTTCGTTCCATTATATCTTATTCTAACACAGACCCTTATGGCTACAAACGCTGGAAAACAAATTCCTGCTCTGCCCATGGCTCAACCCATTGAGAAGAACACAGGCTCTAACAGCCAAGAACTTCAGAACGCTGACATCCGCGCTTCCTCTCGGCCTCAGAGCATCCGACGTGTGCTGCTTGGGGCCATCAGTGCAAGGGCTTTGCACCAACAGGCAGCAGATGGGTGTGAGGACAGTGCAGAGGGCCCCTCCTAACAGCCTCCCTTTGGGGTCTTCTTGGCCTGAAAGATAAAGCATTTTGTCTGAATAACTTGTTTCCAAGTTAGATTTGGCTCAAAAGTAAGAAATCTACCACATCAAATACCATATTCTACCAAATAGCTTACAAAGAACTTGGGTACTGGTGTGTGGTGGGGACTTGGCTGGTTGGTGCTCAGAGGGACCCTGGGGCTGGGTCTACAGGTCACCTGTCCATAGGACAAGGGACTTGAAATGATCTGAGACACCCAACAGGACCGCATTGCTGCGCCCATCTGCCCCAGATACTGCGCAGTGCCCCCACACGCCACATTTGGTCCCACACTCTTGAAGGGGCAGCAGGAAATCCTTCTAATTACCTGCGCAGCTGACACTGCTCACGGGATGGAGCAGGAATCTGAGCCCCCACCACCCTCAAGAAGGCCCCCCACAAGCACCCAGGACCACAGTGAGAGGAGGCCAAAAAAGGGCCCATCACAAATTTCCTTGCGAGAAACCTAAAAGACCCAGGTCTGCGACCAGGTCACCTTTAAAGAGAAGCCCAGCTCGTGTCACTGAGTGAAAGGTTCCACTAGGTGAGGGGCAGGGGACCCATGGCCTCGGATGTCCTTCTTTGATCCAGACAGAGGAGTGCTAGGTAGGTGAGGTCACAAATAGCCACATGCCTGGAACAGTTAACTCCTCATTAGCCACAAAAAAGGTGGCAGGGAAAACAAAAACCAACCTAGGAGTGTTTGATCTTTATCTCAAGTATACATTTTCCCAGGAGAGTTGCTAACCGGTCATCACAAAAGTGAAGGTTTGCCTCTGGGAGGGCTGTAAAGCTGGGAAACTGCCACAAAGCAGGAAGCCAGTCAAAAGCAACAAGAAAAGTCACCCACCTCTGGATCCAGGCTGGGAATAAGGGTTGGCTAATGACAGCAAGGAAGTGTGAGGACTTCACCAAGCCCTCTGGAACATGATCCGTGAACCACATTCCTTCTTGAACCACGGAACCGGACATCCCACATCCTCAGCCCGCTCCGCGTAGGCTGATCCTGGGACATCAAGGAGCTCTGCATGGCGTTCACTGAATTCTGCAGAGCTCTTACCCAGCTGCCCTTTCTCCGGTCCGATAATCCAGATCAACAGCTCCAGCAAACAGCTAATCACTGGCATCGTGGCTCACCCAGACCCACCAAATCAGGGGCACCCAAGGTGGAAGTCAGTGATGCCCACGCTTTCGTAACCAGCCCCATCGGCAGGCAGCACCCTCCCGGTCCTGTTCCGGAACACCCGTCGTGCCAGCTCCACCAGGCTTCCCACCTCTGCTAGAGTCTGCCAGCCTCGGCGAACCCTGCTTTCTCCAGAGCCTTTATAAAGATATGCAAACACGACGCTGCGATTCTTCTATGTGGGACTTGGCCATTTTCGCAAGACTGGGGGCAGAGCATCTGATCAGACAGGATCAGAAATGCCGAGGATAAGAAACAGAAGGGACTTGATGCCGAAGGGGTTAGAGGCAGAACTGACTCCAGGACCAAGAACCCCTACTGTCCCCATACAGCCTGCTGCTGCTCCAGCGGATTCTCCTCTCATCCTCTGGAAAAGGGGGCGGCTGGGAGGTGGAAGCGGTGGTGCCCGGGGGCAACAGCAGCCGCCCGCCTGAGCTGAGGGAACGCACGGCGAGGCTGACACAGGAGGTGCCGGGGCGCTCCCTGCCGCTCCCGTGTTGGGGCCCCCCAGGCACGGCGCCCCTCTGGGTAGCGCCCACTAGAGACCGCACAGGAGCGTCTGGGCGCTTACAAAGCGTTTTCCCACCCACGTCCCCACCAATCCCTCTGGCCTCGCTGTACAAACACGCAGACACGCCCCGGGACCGCGGAGGTTTCGCGGGCTTGTCAGTGGGTCCTTGGCCTGGTTGACCGGCGCCTAAAGCACCCAGGAGGCGCTGGGGCCCCGAACCAACGGAGAAGGAAGGGAGGCCGGGCCCAGAGGGGCTCGAGCAGGGAAGGGCTGGGAGGGGCCCGCGCCCACCTACCGCGGCGGCGAAGCAGCTCCGCAGGGCCTCGAACTCCCGCGCGCAGAGGTCCTTGCTCAGGCGGCCGCCCGGGGCCGTGGAGGCCTGCACGCACCTGCCGTACGCCGCGGCCTGCGGGGGATACAGGCGCGGGTCGCGGGGGCCCCTGAGCCGGGTCACTGCCCTCCCTCCCGGTCACCACCTGCGCGGCCCTTCCTGCCCTGCGGCACTGGCCCGCCTGCGGCTCCTCACCTCGGGCCCGCAGGCCGCCAAGTGCTCGGGGAAGGCGCGTAGGCGGCTTCGCACGCGTCCCCACACCGCTCTGTTCGCCGACATGAGCACCTCTTCCTGACACCCATGGGCGCCGCCATCTTAGGCCCGTCCTCTTCCGGTATCCAACGGCTTGATAGGCAGGCGCTTCCGTTCACAGTCTTTTCTGAGCTTCCTAACTGGCCAGGCTTCGCTTGGTCTCGCCCTCTACAATGGGCTGTCGACCTTGTCTGTCTCTGGCCTGGGGCTTCGGATTGGCTCAGCCTCAAATTGTTCACGAAGCCGACCTCAGGGCGGGGCCTACCACGAGCGATTGGCCGGCGGAGGCAGACACGCGCGGTGATTGGCGGGCACGGGCCTGGCGGAAGCGGGGCAGGCCGGGGGCTTCTCTGGGCCATGGCGGCCGCGCCGCCGCTGCGGGACCGCCTGAGCTTCTTGCAGCGGGTGAGTGAGGCGGCCCGGCCCGGCCCCTCTGCCCGCCGCGCTGCCCGGCGCCTCCCAAGGCCGGGCCCTCCGAGCGCGGCGTGGGCGGGTCGCGCCCCCGGCGGTGATGGGCGTGGCCAGACCCTGGAGGGGCGAACAGCGCTGGTTCGGTCGCTTCCGACGGGAGGGAAAGGGCGACCCAGGACCAGGGGTGTCAGGCCGGACGCGGCAGCCGCTGTCTGCGGCTGGTGGCCGCTCAGGTCGGGGTTCCGTCCCCCACAGCCTGGGAGACCCGCCGTCCTTTCCGCGCGGGCTCCAGACAGACGCCCCCGGTGGCAGGAGGTGCACAGGCACCTCGGAGGGACGGAGAAGGACGAGCAGCCCTAAGCGCTTTTGATAATTGCCTGAGAAAGGTCGGGGCTGCCGCCAGGGCTGGCCGGAGCAAACTGCGTTCTTTCGACGGCTGTGAGCTTCTCGGGCTGGGTGGTCCCAGGGGCGCGCCTCAGGCTGCTGTAAATCGGGTCTCCTGGCTCTGGGTTTGGACGGAGTCACGTGTCGAGTTCTGCAGTTCTCAACTGCGACCTGCAGACGTCCCCAGCTCCTCTTCAGGGCTTGGTGGGCTAGTAGTGAGCTGTGGGTGCGAGTGGTGTGTGCCCGCAGCTCGCGTAGCGCGTCAGATGTGCGTTTGTATACCTGGTGGTGACGCTAGGCAGCTGCCGCTCAGGCCCGGCACCGAAGCAGTCCCCGTGTATGTCATTTGAGATACCCTTGAATTCCTATATTCTGTCAAGATACTGGATAATAAAAAAATGGATGTTTCTGTTTTCATTGCTGTAAAGAGCACATCTTTGCGCTAATAAGCGTGTAACGTAAACAAATGTGTATGTGCTGAGAAGTGAACATACAGCAAACAACGTGACTCTGGCTGTTGTGGAGCCACAGGGTCGGTCAGGCTGGCGGTTGTGCGGTGCTGCCGACCCCACTCTGGAGAGGTGCCAGCTGTCCTGGTCCCCTATGGGGAAAGGGGCTCGCCCAAGCTTCTGCTCGTCAGTAAGTAGGGATAGGGACGGCAGCTTCACGTTGCCTTTTGCTGCGTGTGGGGAGGCGGGCGCTCTGCCGCCAAGTAGAGCAGCCCCCACGGGGAGAACCGCCGTTGGTGTTGCCCGTTCTCTGGGGCTGTCCATCCCTCACGTCCGGAGGGCGCCCTGCTGCAGGCTGCCTGCAGCCAGTAGGACTGTTCCCCTCTCTCCTGAGTCTTCTCCCCTGCCAGCATGTCAACAGAGAGACAGGCCTGTGTCCGTCACGTTTGGTGACTTGTTCCCTTTCAGCTCCCAATTCTCCTGAAGGGAACATCGGATGACGATGTCCCATGTCCCGGCTACCTGTTTGAAGAGATTGCTAGTATCCTTCCTTGACGTCTCCTGTGTTGGGGAAAGAGTGGCTGCAGGGCCCCAGTGTGGCACGGAAGGTTCTGGGAGTCTCCCTGCGGGTCCTCCTGCCAGCCCTGGGGTGGAGCCACAGCTTCTTTATCATAATAACGGGGTGGGTGGGGTCTGAAAGCTGTGATACCCATGTCACCGCCCAAGAGACCCTAGAAGCCTCAGTGCCTTCGAAACCAGGGCCTGTGGGCGGTGCCTGCAGGGAGCCTGAGTAGAGCAGGCCCATGGCCCTGGGAAGGCTGGCTCCTCTCCTCGGCCAGCACGGCCTTTGTCAGCTTGCTTCTTCCCTAACCCGAGCGCCCCAGAAATCTCCCACGAGTCGCTGGGCAGCAGCCAGTGCCTGCTGGAATACCTCCTGAACCGTCTGTACAGCAGCTCCGGCCACGTGAAGCTCAAGGTGAGTGCCTGAGTGGCAGGGGGTTCAGGCACCAGCTCCTGCCCGGGGCTGGTGGGGCTCCGGGGAAGTGGGTGGCTCGGTGCCCCCGGGGTGCTCCCTGGGCCGTGCCCTGAGTGTCTTGGGTTGGGCCTGGCTGGCCGCACTGACTGCCCGAACCCCCAGGTGCTGAAGATCCTGCTCTACCTGTGCAGTCATGGCTCCTCGTCCTTCCTGCTTATCCTCAAACGCAACGCCTCCTTCATCCAGGAGGCCACAGGTATGGGGAGCGAGCGCAGGCGCTTAGGGAGAGCTGCGGGCCATGGAAGGTAGGGGAGGAGGATGAAGAATCTGGGGACCCTCTGCTTGGGCAGGGTCCTGGACTCAGCCCCCCACAGCCTCCCCGCGGCCCTGCCCTGCTGCTCTGACCAACCCTCGGCCTCCCCTGCCACCCTTCCCTCCCTGCCTGCTGAGCGCCCCTGGCTCCACCGGCCAGCTTGGCCTCCCCCAGAGCACCTCACACATCCCTTCGCTGGGTCCTGTGCGCCTCCCACGTGTCCCTGGGCTGCGTCTGTCCCTGCACTTACTGCTCCGGATGCCATCGCTGGTTTCTCTGTCCTTGGGGGACCTTCCCCTTGTTCTCAGGGCTGGGCACGTGGTGGGCTTGCTGGGTGTTTACACGTCCTCCCCAGGCCCAGGCCATGGCTCTGTCCTCCCCTGGCTGCTCTGCAGAGCCTGGGACAGAGTGAGGGGCCAAGGGAGGCTGGGGCTGGGAGGTGCAGGAGAGGTGGGCCCCGGCCTATCTGTCCAGGCAGCAGGTGGGTGCAGGGTGGAGCCCTGGTCCCTCGCTCCCCATAGGTTATGGAACACTCATTTGTGTTCTAGCTGACAAGGACTTTGGGGGACATGGCCTGAGGTCTTCCCCTGGGGTTGGGGGCGTCTTGGCCAGAGAGGGTGGTGGTGGTGGGTGCACCATCTCTGGACCCCACCCCCACGCCCCTGTACAAGTCTTTGGAGGGACTTGGCCTAAAGGCCAGAGCCCCCCTGCTGTCCCCTGCCCAGCCGCCCGGAGAGGGATGCTCCTGGGAGGGCGGCGAGTCAGGCTTGCGCTGCTGCTCGCTTATCGGGGCCCCTCAGCGTGTCCCGTCTGCTGGGCCTTATTCCCCACACCCCAAAACCACTATCGTCCCACTTTAGGACAGGCAGGCCTGAGGCTCAGGGCAGGGACAGGCAGGTTCCCACGCGATAGGCCACGGCCAGGTGCCCTTAGCTGTGGTACCCGGCGTGTTGGCCAAGACACAGTCGTGGCACGAAGCTTAGGCGCCAGAGGGGAACGGGCTGATTCGGGGAATGCGCTCCCATCGTAACAGCTCCCAGGGCTCAGATGTTCCTTCCCACCATTCAGCGGGTCACAGTGGGCCCGTCCCCGGGCAGCACCGCTGCGGCTGGTGCAGGTCTTGGGGAGCTGCTTGGTGGGGGCGCAGCAGGTGGAGGAAAGGGGTTCAGCAGGCCCTGGTGGGTGGGGCAGGCTCGTGCTCTTGTGGCACCAGCATCTCCCTGTGCAAAGGCGAGTGCAGATGGTTGTCATTGCCCCAGGTGACCCACGCCCGGGCGGCTTCTCGTGGGCTGTGAGGAAACCTGGTGCTGGGTGCCACATGTAAGAGATGGGCACGGGGGTGCCCTGTGCACACAAGGGAGGGCCATGTGCGGTGGGGGCAGGTGGGCCCTTGGGGAAGAGGAGCCATGGGGGGGCATCTTGGGCGGGGCCCCAGGCAGAGCCGAGAGCCGGACCACCGGTCCCTGGATCGGGGCGGGGACCGCAGCGGGGTGATGGCGGCACCTGCCTGGAGCTTGTGGGTGTCGAGGGCCCCCAGAGGAGCAAGGATGAGGAGAGTGAGCCGAGGCCTGTGGCAGGCGCTGCCCTCACGTGGGCAAAGGCCCGGGGACAGGAAGAGCTGGAGGGTGACTCAGCGTGGGGACACCTGATTTTCCACACCTGGGCTCTTTGACGGGAGCCTGGGACGGGCTGCGACTGGGGGTGGGATGGCAGGGACTGGCCCACGGAGCGTGTTCAGGCCGCTACAGAACTTGGGTTTTATCATCCAGTCTCCAAAAAGCCTGTGAAGGTCTAGGTTGGACATGGCACCCTCGAGGTGCCTCTGGGCGGAAGGGCTGGCTGGAGGGAGGCAGGTGCTGGTGCAGTGGCCGGGGAGAGACAGGGTTGCCACGGAGATGGGCGCGGGCCAGGGCTGCCAAGGGTCCTGCAGGGGGTCCAGCCCGGTGAGGGAGGAGGCGGGGCGGTTGGGGGGCGGCAGCACCAGCTCACCCGCCCATTACCTTCTCCCCCGCAGCGTTGGCAGGGCCCCCGGATCCTCTCCATGGGAGCAGCTTGTACCAGAAGGTGCGGGCAGCTGCCCAGGTGAGCTCAGGACCCCGGGCACTCTGGAGCCACGGGGGGTGGGACTCGGGCAGTATGTCTGGGGGAGCCCCAGCCCCACTCCTTGCTGCCGTGTGGGTGGAACCCACGCGTTCAGCTGGCGACTCGAGAGAAGGGGCCAGGGGACGGAACAACTGACGTGGGTGGCAGGCCCAGGACAGCAGGCCTGGGCGTGCGGGACACTGAGGGCCTGTGCCTCCTCCGTTAGGACTTGGGGAGCACCTTGTTCTCCGACACCAAGTTGCCGCTGCCGCCCCCCCAGCCTCCCGGGGCCTTGCCTCCTGCAGGTAGGACGGCACCTGCGTCGGGTCCCCTCCCCCGTCACGGCCTCTGCTGCCGGTGGGCGGGGCTGACGCCAGGGTGCTCCCCACAGGCATGGGCTCCCAGTCCCGGCCTCACAGCAGCCTCCAGGGTTTCGGCTACAGCCAGGAACCGGGCCACACAGGTAAGCGGAAAGGGCCCGTGTGCAGCCTGGGTGTCTCGGAGCAGGGGCGGGGAGGGCGGGGAGGGCGGGCCTCGCTGCCCCGCCCAGTAACTGCTACGACCCCCATGTGGGCTCAGTTCCTTCCTGGTCATGGTGCTCACTGTTGCTCTCTGCCCAACCCGGGTGGGGGCAGGCGGGTGGGGCCAGGTCTGTTCTTGGACAAGTGAGAGGAGCCAGGCTGAGAACTCAGTGTTGGGCCCCGGGGCAGGGTCAGTCCCACTCCCAGAGGGTCCCGGCCGCGATGGAAGCAACTCAGTGGTCACACGTGTGAGTCGTAACACTTGCTTCTCGGCACCACTAGAGCCGTCGTGGGGCGTGCGTGGGAGGCGCGTGCCTCGGCCCGCAGTGCCGCCGTCCCCTGGTGCTGGGCGTTCGCCGCCTCTGGCCGCCTGCTGTTAGATGGTCCGGCCCATGCTGGTGCACAGCTGTGCGGGTCCCTGCAGATGCTGCAATTTGGGGGTTCCTTCTGCAGGGAGCTCACGCAGGAGGGCTGGCCCCTCCCCCTGAGTGAAGGGCTACAGGCCTTTTTAACTTCTCAGGACAACGCCCCCCTCGCTCGGGGGGACAGGGGTGTAGCTCTGCTGTAAGCCAGGGGGTGCCCAGGGCCACAGGGCCTGGAACTGCTGAAGTGGAATCCACCAGGAAGTCTCTGGAAGGTCCAGGCCCTCACCAGGAGGCCCTGCTCTGTACCTGTCTGAGCAAGGAGCCGCCGCGGGTACCTGCTGCCCGAGGACGCAGGCGGGGCAGGACCCGGCAGCCGCTCCATCCTGTTCTCCTGGATGCAGGCTCTGCGGGTGAAGCCTTCCTCTCCACCATCCAGAAGGCTGCAGAGGTGGTGGCCAATGTCGTGCGCCCTGGGACGGAGAGTCTCAGTGCCCAGAGGCCCTTGCCACAGGGGGACACCTACCAGCCTGCTGTGACACCGCTGGCCAGCCATGGCCACCCCATCCCTGGGAACCTGCTGCCCGGGGCCACCACCGTGGGCGCCCGAGGTATGGAGGCAAGGGCTCCTCCCCCAGGGGTCTGGGTCACTCCTTCCTGTCACCTGCTGGGGCCCGGGAGGAGGTTTAATGACGATGCCGCCTGTGCGGCAGGAGGGGGCCTGGGGGAGAGAAAAGCAGCATGTGCGTGGGGGCGCCCACTGTTTTCCGGAGCCGGAGCCAAGGGGGCCACCTGTCCTCCTGGCCCAGGCCCCGGGGAGCTGGGCAGGGGCTGGCCTGACACCCCGAGAGGCTCACCCACCGCCCCTCCTTCCAGCTGTGAGGCACCAGCCCGGGCAGGCCGGAGGGGGCTGGGAGGAGCTGGACAGCGGCCCCAGCTCTCAGAATTCTTCCCAGAACAGTGACCCGAGCAGGGCCTCGGACTCAGGCAGTCGGTCCGGCAGTGACGGCCACTCGAGGGCCAGCCGGGAGCCAAGCGACCTGGCAGACAGGTGAGCAGGAACCTCCGGGAAGCTCCCCTGCCCTCCCAGAGTGGCACGGTCCCCACCCCGCCCCGACCTGGCTGTGCCCTCCCCCAGGACCGAGGCCTCGAGTGACTGCCAGCAGGAGCTGAGCCTGGTGAGGACGGTGACCCAGGGGCCATGTGCCTTCCTGAGCCGTGAGGAGGCGCAGCACTTCATCAAAGAGTGAGCCCGCCCGCCCGCCCACCCACCGGCTCTGGCCCTGCCCTGGGCGAGGGAGGAGGGAACAGGCCGCCGCCCGCCACCCAGGTGTCCCCTTTGTGCAGGTGTGGGCTGCTCAACTGTGAGGCGGTGCTGGAGCTGCTGATCGGCCACCTGGGCGGGACCAGCGAGCACACACAGATGGTGAGGGGCGCGACGGCGGGAGGGCTGGTGCCCGTGTGTGCGCCTGTGCCGTGTGCGCGTGTACGCGTGTATGCGTGTGCACGTGCAGGTGGGCCGTGTGTAGGAACCAGCGTCTCCCGGCCTTCTCAGCGCCACGCTGCTCCTCGGGGCTGCCCCGGGTGACCGCAGGTCTCTGGTGGGGCTGCCCTGGTGCCCCTCAGACCTGGGTCCTGAGCCAGGGGAAGAGGAGGGAGGGCGAAGGCCAGATGGGTCCCCAGGTGGAGCTTGTGCTGCCCAGAGGGTGGAGCCTGATGTCCCGCCGTCGCCCCGCAGAGAGTGCTGAGCGCCATCGCCTCCCTCGGGGGCGCCGACCTGCTCCCCCAGGAGCACATCCTCCTCCTGTCCCGGCCGCGGCTGCAGGAGCTCAGCACGGGCAGCCCTGGACCTGTGACCAACAAGGCCACCAAGGTGGGCAGCAGGGCCACAGGCACCCGGGGCGAGGGAGCACTGGACAGACACACCCCACGCCCTTCGCAGCCCTGCCTGGCCCTTGGTCAGCCCTTTCCTGACACCTTGAGTTCAGAGTCCAGGTCCCTGACCCATCCCGTGCTGCCCAGTGGGCACTGCGGCAGACGGGGCAGCAGTCAGGGTCCTCGCCTGCCCCAGCTCCCGTCCTGACTTCCTGACTTCCTCCTGCCACCTCGCAAACTCCTGGGGCACCGGCCTCCTCCTGCTCCTGGAGCTCCCTGAGCTGGGTCCTCCTTGATACCCGCCCCGCCCTGGGGATGGCTCCCCACCATACTTGCCTCCTCTCCCTCCTCCAGGAAGCCCTCCTTGACTGCAGGTGCAGTTCTCTCCGTGACACTGCACTTGCCCACTCCCAACTCCCAGTTTCCCGGAGGGCAGAAATTACTCTGTTCATCCGAGCACACTTCCCCCAAGGCTTTGAGCTGCCAGGGAGGCCTCTCCCCGAGCTGGGCCCTGGCACCCTTCTTCTGCCTATTAGCATCCATGGCTTCTTTCTTCCCCTCTTCTCTGTGGCTGTGACGGGTCCTCAGTCACCCGTCCCCGAATCGTCCGGACCTGGCACTAAGGAGGGACCTTGGGGAGGGCTGGGCCCTGTCCTGCACGCTTCTCAGAGCGGCACAGGCCTCGCTGATCCTTCCTTCATCTTCCAGATCCTGAGGCACTTTGAAGCCTCCTGTGGACAGCTGCCCCCTGCCCAGAGGCCCCCTGCCACGCCTGGCCCCGCAGCCACCCTTGCAGGCCCGTCCGACCTGCTGGCCGATGCTGTGCCTCTCGCGGGGGGCCGGGTTGTCCTCCAGCCTCTGAGTTCAGCCCTGCTCCCACCCCTACCTGTGGATGCCTCCCGCCTCCCAGCCCTCGGAGATGCCAGTGGGGCCGAGACCGGACTGGCAGCCTCCCGAGAGCCGGGCCCGGGGGGCACAGACACCCCCGAGGGAGGCCCCAGCAGCTGCCCGTGGAGCCGCGACTCCTTGTTTGCCGGCATGGAGCTGGTGGCCTGCCCCCGCCCGGCGGGGGCCAGGGCTGCTGCAGAGGTGCCCTGCCTGGACCTCCAGGCCGCCCGGACATCGTCACAGAGGACAGCGGCCAAAGAGCCAGAGCCATCAGCTTTTGCGTTCCTCAACGTGTGACCGTGTCGGCCTGGCCCTGGAGGGTTTCAGCCTTAGCCGGCGCACTGCGCTTCCAGAGAGGCCCGTGGCCGGAGCTGCTACGGACTCCAGGCAACGTGCTGTGAGGAAGACCCCAGGGCTGCCTCAGTTCCCTCATCTCCTTTGCCAGAGGCTGGCTGTTTTGGTTTGATTCCTGCAGCAGAGGACAGGCTGGTGGCAGGGCCTCCGAGTTGCTGACCTCAGGGTCCCAGGGGCACCCCCGCCTGCCTTGCCCTCTGGAACCCGGCTGCTCGTGTGGACTGGGGGCAGCTACTCGGTTCTCACTTTGCTTTGTTTGAACTCTGCTCCCCCTCCCCTGGGGGGCCTCCTTCTCCAGGGGGGAGGCCAGGTGCTGACGAGGCAGGGTTGGTGCCTGTGTCTCGAGGGGGTCTGGCCTGTGGCCGTGCTCATCGTCCACTCTGTGCGCTGCCTGTGGGCTCCCACTGTCCCCTCTGCCACAGTAGCTCCCAGCAGGCCTGGCCTTGGGTGCCCGAGTGACGAGTCCAGCGTCTCAGGACAGAGACAGGCTGCAGAGCTGTGTACGCGTTCTGAATAAACACTACTGTTTACACGAGCTGGGCCATGCTGGTCTTTTTCTTTCTTCCTTTTGTGTGTGTGCATTTTAATTAAAATACCATTAATAAGGGGCCCATATAGATGATTTCTTTCTTAAAATTAGGGACAGGTGTTACTTCTTCCTTAAATGTTTGGTAGAATTCCCCAGTGGTACATCAGCAGTACTATCCTTGCAATTAACCTTTTTTTAAATTTTTACTTTTTGAGACGGTGTCTCACTGTGCTGCCCAGGCTGGTCTCGAGCTCCTGGCTGCAAGCGATGCTCCCACCTCGGCTTCCCGAGTACCCGGGACCACAGGTACATGCCACCGTGCCCTGCTCAATTGACTGCAACGTTTTTAGCTTTAAAATTTGATTTCTCGAATAGATAATGGACTATTTTGGTTATTGTTTTCTTCATAAGTAAGTTTCAGTAGTTTGTATCTTTCGAAGACTTGGTCCATTTTATATAAGTCGCCAAATTTATGACTGTACAGTTTTCTGTAGCATTTTTTTATCATTTATTTATTTATTTGAGCCAGTGTCTCACTCTTTCGCCCTGGGTAGACTGCCGTGGTGACATCATAGTTCACTGTAGCCTCAAACTCGTGGTCTTAAGAGTTCCTCCTGCCTCAGCCTCCTGAGTAGCTGGGACTACAGGCGCCACCACCACACCCAGCTAATTTTTCTATTTTTAGCAGAGATGGGGTCTCGCTCTGGCTCAGGCTGGTCTGAAACTCCTGAGCTCAAGCGATCCTCCCGCCTCAGCCTCCCTGAGTGCTGGGTATTATCTTTTTAATGTCCATGGGATCTCTAAGAATATTCTTTCTTCCATTCCTAACATCAATAATTTGTTTTCTCATTTTCTTGGTCAGTCTGACTAGCGGTTTATTAATGTTATTGATTTCTTCAAAGAACCAACTTTCGGTTTTATTTTTTTCTACCGTTTTTCTATTTTCTATGTCATTGATTTCTGCTCTTTTTTAATACATTCCTTCTGCTTTGGATTTATTTTTATTTTTCTGGTTTCTTAAGGTGGAAGCTTAGGCTACTGATTTGACACCTTTTTTATTTTCTAATATAAGCATTTTAATGTTATAAATTTCCCACTGAACACTGCTCTGTCTGCATCCTATGAGTTTTGGTATATTTTAATTTTTATTGTGTTCAAAATATTTCCTAATTTCCCTTGAAACTTCCTTTTTGTTCAATGGGTTACTTAAAGGTGTATGGTGCTGTTAGCACCATTCTGATACAGTCAGAGAACATACTGTGGATGATTTCAATTATGTTGTTAAAGATTTCAAACTTTTGTTAAAGCTTGTTTTATGGCCAGACTGTAGTCTATCTTGGTGGATGTTCCATGTGCACTTGGTTTAGAAAACTACAGACCAATGTCCTTCATGAACACAGAGGCAAAAGTCCTCAAGGAAATATTAGCAAAATGAATCCTATAACATGTAAAAGGATAATACGTCGCTGTAAGTGGAATATATCCCAGGAATACGAGACCGTTTCAACATGTGAAAATCAGTATAGTATAGTTTAGCATATTAACAGAATAAAGAAAAGTCACCTGATTATTCTATTCATAAACAGCAAGAGACAATAAATTCGGCAATCATGTAATAATAAACTTGACAAACTAGAAATACAAGTGAATTTCTTTTTGTGGTGAGGAGCACCGACAGAAACCCCTCAGCTAACATCATGCTTGACAGAGAAGGACCCAGATCTTTCCCCCGAGACTGGGAACAAGGCAACAAGGTCCACTCTGACCACCTCTGTTCCACATTATCCTGGAAACCCTGGCCAGTATATTAAAGCAAGAAAAAATCTAAAAGGCAGACACATGAGAAAGAAAAAAATAAAACTATTCAGACAACATGACTGTAGACAATCCCATGGGATGCACAAAAATGTTCCTAATACTAACAAGTGAGTTTAGCAAGGACAGGCTACAGGGTAAATACACTAACATCAAGTATATTCTTAGACACTAACAATAAACAATTGGTAATCAAAATATTAAAAACTATTTAATGGCGGGGTGAGGCGGCTCACGGCTGTAATCCTAGTGCTGTGTGAGGCTGAGGCGAGAGGACTGCTGGAACCCAGGGGTCTGAGGGCGCTTCCAGCCTGGGCGACAGAGCGAAACAAAAACAAAATAAAACAAAACAACACACTACCATTTACAATGGCACTTCAAAAAATGAATTAGGTATAAATCTTTAAAAATACATGCAGGATGTATATACTGAAAACCACAAAACACTGGTGAAAGAAACAATGACAACCTAAGTAAATGTGGAGCTATACCATGTTCGCAGATAAAGATGGCAATTATCCCCAAATGCAGATCTACAGATTTCATGTCGCCCCCGTCAAAATCCCAGCTGGATTTCTTTTTAGTTAGTGACAAGCTGATATTAAAATTTATAGGAAAAGTCAAGGTAATTTTGAAAAAGATCAAAGAGGATTCACAGATTCACTGCCTTCAAGATTTGCCATAAAGCTGCACTAATCAAGACAGCGAAAAGTTAGACACAGATCAAGGGACCAGTGTAGACAGCTCAGAAGCAGACCCACGCAAATAAGTCAATCGCCTTCTTACAAAGGTGCAAAGGTCATTCTTTGAAGAAAGGGTGGCCCTTCAACAGTGGGGCGACAGTTGGACCTCCACACGCAACAGATACACAAAGAACCTCGGCCCGGCCGCACACCTTACACGAAATGTAAAGGGAACCCGAGACCCAAATGCGAAACCTAAAAGTACAAAACTTCCAGAAGAAAACAAAGGAGAAAATTTTCTGCCTGGGGTTAGGCAATGGCTTCACGTACGAGATACAGAAAACAAGCCATGAAGGAAAAAGTTGGACTTTATCGAAGTTAAAAACTTCTGTTCGGACGACACAGTTAAGAGGGTGGAAGGAGCCACACTCTGCGCGAATACGTGCAACCACGTGTCTCACGAGGGACTCATATAAAGACCATTTAAACAACACTCGAAACTGCCAATGAAACCACCGGAAACCAGAACAATTACAGAGTGGGCAGAGAGGCGAGCGGACACTGACTGCCCCAGGACGACGCCGGACCACGTGACAAGCCGACACCGTTCGGGGAGCGTCGGTTTCTCACACGGCAAACGCTCCAGGTGTGAGCCGGGACGACCCGACCCGACCGGACCCGCGCTCTCGCCCGCTGCTTCCCGCGCGGCCGCCGAACTCCCGTCGCGACCCCACGCCTTCGCCGGGCACGCCGGGGACGCCAAGGACTCGGTCCCCGACGGCGACGGCGACTGCGCGCTCGGCCCAGCACAGGGCCAGGCGAGGGGCGCGGCGGGCAGCGTAGCCGCGGGAGCCCCGCCCACACTTCGGCCCCGCCCACAACCGCCATGCCTCGCCCACATCCGCCATGCCCCGCCCACCACAACCGCCCCGCCCTCGCCCCAGCCACGCTTGGTCCCGCCCCAGAGGCCCCGCCCCTTTCCAGCCGCGTCCAATCGGCCGCCCGCTGCGGTCGCGGCCCCCGGCTCCCCGCCGCTCCTCCCACGCTTGAACCTCCCGAAGGATAGCCGGGCGGCCCAATGCGCTCGCGGGACGGCCTGAGCCGTCGGCTGGAGAACCAATCCGGAAGCGGCGCGCTCAGGCAAGGCGAGCCGGCGTGACGCACAGCGGAGGCGGTGCCACCTGGTTGCTAGCTGCCGCCGCCGCTCGTCCGGGCCGGCCGCTTCATTGTCACCCGGCCTGGGGCAGCGCCGGGGCCCGCGGGGCGTCAGGTCACAGGCCCGAGCCTTGAGCCCGGCGCGTCCCAGCTCTGCTGGCGCCGCAACCCCGCCCCGCCGGCTGAATCCGCAGGCTCCGCGCCCCCGGCTCGCGCAGGTGAGGGGGGCCCCGCGCAGGTGAGGGGGACCCCGCGCTTGTGAGGGAGAGTCCGCGCAGGTGAGGGGGCCCCGCGCATGTGAAGGGTGTCCGCGCAGGTGAGGGGGTCCCCCGCGCAGGTGGGGGTTCGGGCACGTGAGAGGGGCCCCGCAGGTGCGGGCTCCAGTCCCGGTGAGGGGGTCTGGCTCCTACAGGTAAGGGGGACTGGTGTTTGAAGGTGGGTCCCTCCTGCAGTCCTACCCTAAGGACAATCTGGACTCCAGTCCCCAAGTCTCAGCTCTGGCTGCCTTAAGCCCCAGGGTAACCCCTGAGATGGGGCGCTACCACTGCACCTGGGTCTTGGCCTCTGCCTGGGGTCACGGCCGTGGTCCTACCTGTCCCCCTGCCCCTTCAGGTCCTGGGAGGGACACCTTTTTGTCCAAGGTGTGGTTGGGCTCCCAGCCTCCCTTGATATGGCCTGGAGGTTTCCATGGAGAGGCTGTGTTTACCATCCCAGAGCCCTGCTTGCGCACGTGTGGCTGGGAGAGCAGCGCACAGCTTCCAGGGCCAGCGTGGGTCTAGCTGGGGGCTGCCGGCGCCCTGGGGTGAGGAGGGTGTTCGGTTTCACCTGCACAACCAGAAATGCATAACTGAGGACGCAGGCCTGGTCGGTGACAGGGGCGGGCTCCAGAGAATAGCGGTGTTTGGCTCCCCAGGGCAGGGGTCCTGGTGGGCCCTGCTGTGGGGTGTCAGGGTGAGGGAGGCACGGCACTGACCTGGGGTGGTGGGTTGTGTGCCCGCTGGCCCTCAGAGGCCTCAGTGACAGGGGCTCCAGGATGTTAAGGACATACTTCTCAGTGTTGGTCTCGCGTTCCCAGCGGCAGCCTGTGCCATTTGTCCACTAGTCCAATGTGCCTGCTGAGTGCTTTCCACCTGTCAGGTGCTGGGGCTGGGCCGTCCCTGTCCTCTTGAGGCAGTGACCCAGAACATACACCAGCCTTGTGTGACAATGTGAAGAAAATTAGAGCCAGATAAGGGAGTGAAGGTGGCGGGAGTGGTCAGGGCAGGCCTCTCTGAGGGCAGGGAGGGGCCCCTGAGACTTGGGAAGGGGCTCCAGGTAGACAGGCCTGCAAGTGCGGTGGCCGTGCTGGCGGGGCGCTGCTAGAGTTCGAAGGGCACCAGGGAGGCCATTTGGCTGGAGCAGAGCATGGGAGTCCCCGAGAGAGTAGGGTCAGATGTTCGGATTTTATTCTCCCTGCCTGGGAAGCTATAGGAGGGTTTTCAGCAGGGGCGTAAGGTGAGCTGAGACCGGTTCAGAAAGATCAGCTCAGGAGCTGGCCAGGTAGAAGCAGGAGGAATAGTCAGTGGGTGGGATGCCAGGAGGCAGAGGTGGTCCCCCGGGTGAGAGGGTGGATGGAGGAGCGAGGCTGGGCTGAGCCCTGGGGACCTCGACTCCGGTCAGGGAGAAAGAGGAGGGGCTGGCTGGCGAGGGAGGCTTCGAGGGCGGCCAGCACCAGGAGTGGGGGCAGGGAACCCCTGGAGCAAGAGATCCACTGCCACGTGCCGGGAGCACGTGGGTGTTCCTGAGGTTCGAGGACACGGAGGTGATCCTGTGGCTGAATGAGCTTGGGGACACGAGGCTGGGCAGATGAAGCAGGTTTCGTTACTGGGAACTTCTCAGACCACATCCTGCCAGAATAACTCACATCTGTGAGCGCTTGCCATGTGCCAGCCTCTGGTCATCCTGTCTGAGCCTTGTGACAACCCTTTCCAAATGATTTTACAGACGAAGAAAGTGGGGCTCCAACAGGTGGAGCGGCTTTCCCAGGGTTGGGGGGATGGAGAATGACAGGGCCGGGCTCACCACCCGACCACCTACCGCCCAGGCCACCCTCCGTGGTGGAGCCGGCGTGTGCCCGCAAGGCACAGAGCCCCTCCTGCTCTGCCTCCCATCGGCGTTGGGTGTAGAACAGCCCCTCCAGCTCCCGTTGAGGAGCTGCCGCCCAGCCAGGAGGGCGAGTGGGGGAAGGCTTCCCTGCGAGTTTGGTGCCAGGTGGACCCGCGTGTCCTGGGCAGCCGGGGCTGGCCAGAGGTGGGGGTGCAGGGGCTGTGGCTCCCCACCAGCATCTCATCGCATCCCTTGCTTCCCTGTGCAGGGCCCGCCTCGTCCACCATGAAAGGCTCCCGGGCCAGCAGCGGTGCCCCTGGGGGCAGCCCAGAAGGCGGGGACTTGAGTCTGACGGGCGTCCCTCCACCCATGTCCCGGCGCCCCAGCAGTGCCTCTGCCGCCAAGCCCCTGGCCCGCTCCGTCTCTGTGGTCACAGGCAGCGAGCAGAGGAGGAAGGTGCTGGTGAGTGCTGGGCCCCCACCTCTGGGAGGGTTGTCATCAGTGGCATCTGACCCGAGTACAGCTAGAGCCTCCCTTCCGTGGGCACGTCCTATCCCTGTGGCCATCCCAGGGGATAAGAAGGACTCAGGCCTTACAGACCGAGGAGCTGACTTGAAAGGAGGTCAAGGCCAGGTCAGCTGGATCCTTCCAGCACTGGCCCCATCCCTCCTGGGCCACTGCCCTGTGGATCTGCTGAATCCTCAAGAAACAGGTTGACCTGTGTGGGGGTGCTGACGAGCTCCTGGCGGCCTTGGAGAAATCTGGGTGGGTGGCTGGGTGGCAGCAGGACAGTGCTGGAGCTTTGTGCCAAGGGTGCCTTTCCTACCTGCTCTGGGAGGGAGGAGAGGGGAGGGGAGCAGTCCCTGATAGGCGGCTGTGAGCAGCCAGGGCCGGAGTGGGCTGCTGCAACCCGGGGGCCAGCCTTCAGGGAGGGAGGAATCAAGTTGCCCCATGGGGTCGGGGTGGTGCCTGACCTGAGTCTGCCTGAGCTTCCAGAACGGGGGGCCTGGGGGCCTTAGCTTGGACGCTGCAGCGGATCTGAGTGTCCCTGCCTGAGGTCCCCTGGGGCCAGAGGGCAGTCCAGGCTTCCCCAAGGAACCCCGGGCAGGTCCAGGCCAGGCTTCCACAGTGGACAGCAGGCTCGGAGCTCTCTCTTCTGCCTGAAAAAGCGGTTCCTATGTCTGCCCTAGAAGCTGTGGGCGAGGGCTGGGGGCCCTCTAGAGTCCCGGCTGAATTCTGGGGCACAGATGGCAAGGCCAGGAGAGGACCCTTGGTCCAGGCAAGTTCTTGAAGCCTGGGGCTAGCGGGGTAGGGGCCTGGGATGACACATTAAGTGTCAACATGGCCAGCATACTGTGTAAAGATACACTGCGCTGTTCTAGCAGAGGATAGCAGGCGTCCAGCCGCCGAGTCCCTGGACCACCCCCCTCCTGCCCAGACTCCCCTGTTGCTCCAAAAGCCCTGGGCTTGCAGAGGGGGCGTGGGGCTGGGGAGATGCGCCTGAGGTTGTAGGCGCATGGTGGCATGGAGACTGTGGTGCGAAAGTCGCGGGGCTTTCCTGGAGGCGGGGAAAGCAGCCGCTCAGCAGCTGACCAGGGCACTTACCACCACTCCCATCCTTTCTGCTTCCCGAGTGCGGGACCAAAGCAAGTGTTAATCATCAGGCCCTCCTCCCCTCAGCCGGCACTGTCACCCCTCCCACGGTATCGAGTGGGGCAAGCTAACAGTCCTCTGTTGGTGGAATGTTCCAGCTGCCCACTTCCTTGCTCTATCCAGGTCGGCCCCGCCCCTGCACGCCTTCTGCCTGGCGTGCGGTGGGAGCTCAGGACATGATAGCAAGAGTGCCACCGCCCAGCCAGGGAGCCATGTGGCCCTCAGCGCTCTGGTTCTGCCCAGGCCCTGTCCTCTCGGCCACCTGTTCTTGCTGCCTCCTGGTCTCATTGGGATTCCTGGGGAGCGTTTGTTTTGGCGGCTTCACGCCTGTGCACACGGTTTATGATCCTCTTTCTCCTGTTTTTTGTGGGGCCCTGCTGGGGGTGGTTGTTTCTGGGTCCTCTCAGCTGACAGAGCAGGGCAATGTGTACATGTATTAGCCATCGTGTGCTCGCGCGTCTATAAACACACCGTCACCACCGGGCCCACCGAGCCTCCTCCCGTGGTCATCGGTCACCTCCCCTCCCACAGCGAGAGCCCAGGTCCCCCTGAGTGCGGTCAGTGTCCGTGTGAGGTGGTATCAGATTTGACAGCCCGAACTGCCGCAGGAAGAGCTTTATCAGTCGGGCTCTGTCCGCCCCCCGACTTCCTTCTGCCGGGCTCCGCTCCGGCCGGAGAGCAGGGCAGCACCTTCCCCGCCTCTGAGCTCTGGCTGGCATCCTCCTGTGAGTAGGGCTGACGTCACGTCTTTTCATGTCATAAGAGCCGTTTACGTTTACTTTGCTATGAACTGTCCTTATTTCTGCTGAATTTTCCATTTTTTCTTATCGACCGTAGTCCGTGTTACAGATGAAAGCTGACTCGCTCAAGTACGTTTCTCCTGCAGTGATTCTGCACTTTGACTTTGTGCACGTGATGGTTTCTGCCGTCCGCCACGCGGCAGCGTCCCCCAGCTCCACTCTGCCGCCCTCCGTTTCTGCCTCTCTGCCGCTTACTCTGCAGCAGCCAAACCTGCCGCTGTTTTTCTCATCTTAAAACAAACCTTCCCATCCTCCCACCTCGCCCTGGGTTACACCCCGTTTCTTTGCTTCTCTTTGCAGCAGAGCTCCTTAGAAGCAAATCCTCAGAAGAGTGGGGTGAGTCTTACGGTCTCTAAGACGACCTCAACTTCTGACACCCATTGCAAGCTTGGGGTCCCCCAGACCACCCTCAAGTTCTATAATTCACTAGAAGGACTCCGAGAACTCATGAGAGCTGTTATTCATGGTGTGGTGCATTATGGGGAAAGCACAGAGACTAGAATCAGCCCAGGGAGGAGGGCACGGGGCAGAGTCTGGGGAGCCTGCAGCCCCGGAGCTGCTGTCGGCCCTCCATGGGGTCGGGACGGTGTTGCGTTCCTGGCGTCAGTGTGCGACAACACGCACAAGATCGCCAGCCAGGGATCTCCTGAGCCTCGGAGTCCGGAGTCTTTTGGGGAGTCTGTCCCGGAGACACAGTTGACACCCTGGTCGCTGACCTCAGCCTTGACCCCCTCCAGAGGTCAACTGAGACCCTGACCCGAGCCCCACTCTCCGTCACCTTGTTGGTGTGGCTTGGAGCCCCCACTGTAAACCACGCTGTCAGACACTCTCATCGGACAGGACATCAAGGGGCTTAGAGGTCACCTCCTGGCAGCCGAGGGCAAAGGCCAGGGCTCTCTCTGGACAGGGCTAAATTCCTTGCCTCACGGGCAGCCTGTGCTCGTGGTCCCAGCCCCATCTCCCCCAGAACCACGTGGCCATTCTGTGCTTAGCCCTCGGTCACCCCTGTCCTCACCAGCGGGCAGGAGCTCTGCGAGGAAGAGGAGGAGCACTCCTGAGTACTCCCATCTGGCGGGCGCTGTGCTGAGGCTTCGCACAGTCACCGCATTTTTCTTAGAAGGACACAGGCCTCTCTCGGATCCGCTTCCCACTGCTGCCCCTTCTCAGTTCTCCTCTGGCCTGGAGGCCGCGGACACCGTTGCGCTCTCCCCACACCTTGCCTTCCGTCCTCACCTTTGGGCTCCTGGAGCACAGCCCAGCTGGGATTTTAATGCGAAACTGCACTGGGCCCGCAGGTCCCCAGAGTGAGGCCCTGCGGGCTGCCTTTCCTATCGAGCAGGTCTGGGAAATGGGGCCAGGGCCTGGAGTCCTTTCCCCAGAAACGCGGGCATGCTCCAGACTTGTGTGATTCCAGTCGCCTGGGTCTCTCGGGGGCCTTGCCTGGCCCCCAGCCAGTTATGCCCCTGCCAGGCTGGTCTGCGCCCCGTGTACCTTCTGATTCCCTGTTTTAGAAAATGATTTTATGACATGGAGAAATGCTCATCATGGATGGTCAGGGGTCCATAGTGGGATTCCATATAGACAGTTGGTTTCCTGGTTTTGTTTATTGTCTTATTCTGGTTGGGTTGTTTGTTTTTAGCTTAAGGATTCGAATGTAAAATTAAATTTGAAACAGCTGTGCGTGGAGGCCGAGGCAGGAGGATGGCTTGAGCCCAGGAGTTGGAGGCTGCAGTGAACTGTGATTGAGCCACTGCACTCCAGCCTGGGTGACAGAGCGAGACCCTGTCTCAAAAAAACAAATAGACAAATCTGACAGTTCGTAGGTCAGTCTTCCCGGTCCAGTGTGGAAGGCTAGAGACCTCGGGACGGGGAGTCCCGGGCCATTTCCCGGGATTGTGAGCCCTTTCCCCCAAAAGATTTGATTTTGGGGATTTTTAAGCCTACAGAAGAGTTGAAAGACTAGTGCAAAGTTCACCCAAATGCCCTCCCACGTTCTCTGATCACTGACACTTGCCAGGCTTCCGTGCCACCTTGCATTTCGGCACCTTTCCACTGAGCGGTTCGGAAGTGAGCTGCAGACACCCTGTCCTCGCTCCTCCCCATCCAGCACCCGCTGTGGTTGCATCTCCTCAGTCCTTGCAGTGACCCCACAGAGCCACCCTCAGTGCCTCCCACCTGCCCAGGGGGCTGGGAGTTCCCACTGTCTTCGGGGCTGTGAGCAGAGCAGCCCGGCCGCCTGGTGACTCCTGGTTAATGACAACACCAGGGAGCAGCTGGCTCCGGGCCCTCCCACCTGCGGGGGTGAAGGGCTCCCCACTTTGTGGGAGGCAGGCAAGGCTCTCAGAGGGCGGATCTGCCCCAGGCTCAGCGGCCATGCCAGGGCCCCTCACACTGCCCTGCTGTCCTGTGTCCCTGCCCCCTGGCTGCCTTTGGGCCGCCCCTCTGTTCTCCAAGTCTGTTTCTCTAGGGCCGGCCTGGCGCTGAGCAAACTGGCGAGTGTCTGAGACTTTTGCCACTTAACTGGCCGTTTCCTTCCTTTGCAGGAGGCCACAGGGCCTGGGGGCTCCCGGGCCATCAACAACCTCCGGAGGTCCAATAGCACCACGCAGGTCAGCCAGCTGCAGACCACCCCCTCCAGGTAAGCCCACCCCAGTAACCCCTACCGCCAGGTAACCCCCACTCCCCAGTAACCTCCACCCCCCAGGTAACCCTACCCTAGTACTCCCAGTAACCTCCATCCTGCAAGTAGGCCTCATCCCCCAGTAACCCCTGACCCCCAGTAACCTGCCCTCCCAGTAATTTCTTGCCCCCATAGGTAACCCCCACCCCCAGTAATCCTCACCCCCTCAGGTAACCCCTGGCCCACGTGGGTAACCCCAGAGCCCTCAGGTAACCCTGTCCCTTCAGATTACTGCCCCCCCAGCCCCAGGCTCCTCCTGCCTCTGCATCGGCCCTTCCTCCGGCCCCGTCGGTCCTGGGCCTGATCCTGCAAGTCCTTCAGCTGAGGCCTTTTCCACCTACCCTCGAATGCCAAAGTCTGTCGTTGGCCAGGGCGGCAGCACGGTGGCAGGCCGGAACCCCCGTGAGCCCTCTTCCGCCTTCACCCTGTAAGCTCCACTATAGCCTCTCGAGGGCTAGAAACCGGTGCGCCAGGAGGAGCTGCCTCCACGGCCCCAGTGAGGGCTGGCGGCGGCCAGCACCCCCAGCTAGACACCCCTGGGCCGGGAGTGGCAGGGGAGGCCCTGACACCAGCGCCCATAGGCCTTGCCCACGCGGTAGGTACCTGTGGCACTCGCATCCGTGGAAGGTGAAGTCTGGCTGCCCAGGGGCCAAAGGGCGGATCCCCCCCTGGAGGGGCAAGAGCAGTGGCTGCCCCTGCCAGGCCCAGCGCTGGAGCCGCCGGGGAGCTGCGCTCAGCTGGGAAACCAGCGTCACGGGTCCCACCAAGCAAGGGACTGCAGGCCCTGGGTGCGGGGCTGGCTCAGGGCGCCCCAGCGCCACGCAGAGAGGGTGCAGACTCGTGCTGAGATCAGTCAGCCTTTCCCGGGCGACGTCCCTCTGCCCTGTGGGCCAGTGGCTCAGAGCCACTTGTGTGTCACTGCGAGGTGTCACGTATGTGTGTGTGCTTGTGTTTGGTGTGCGGTACGTGTATGGAGTGTGTGTATATGGTGTGTGTGTATGTATGTGGTGTGTGTACTATGTGCATGTGCTATGTATGTATGGTGTGTGTCTGTGGTATGTGTGTGGTACGTGTATCTATGGTGTGTGACGTGTTTGTGTATGTGTGTGGTGCATGTGTTTATGGTATGAATGTGCTGTGTGTATATGCATGTGGCGCATGTGTTCATGGTATGAGTGTGTGGTGTGTATGTGTGTAGTATGTAGATACATGCATGTGCTGTG